GGGGCGTAGCTAGCAAATTTCTCTGGGTAGGGCCATGGGACCACCTCTTGCGGTGAAGAGAGCGGGGGTGGGGGTGAGGAATGGAGGATCCCGTTTTTCTGGGGGGGGACAGCCCCCCCCAGGACCCCCCTAGCTACGCCCATGCGTATCAACACCAAAAATTCGAGTTTTACTGTACACAAATCTCGATATTGGAAGTTCGTTAGTCGGAGTGATATTCCGAAACTCCTCTTTCCAGTTGAAAAATCTTGTCATTTTAACACTTCAGTACTCCAATTAAAATATATGCAAGGAGAATGCGAACATTACGACACTCGCACTTAAACAAGATGACTCATAGCTAAGAGAAATAAAGCTTTGTCGTCATAGAGTCAGCATGCTCCGCCCATGTTTACTTCAGATGTACAAGAATGGTTATAAACTACTTAGGAGCGTATCATTTCCAATGAGTTTGTTAAAAATGCGCCTTAAAGAATCATATTAAAGAGGGCTGAATATTCTTTATTGTAGCAAAAAATAAAAATTATGAATGAACATCGACTGAAAATGAAGATAGTGTCCTTTCAATGTATTCACAGGTTAAAAGAAAGATCATTTTAACGCCAGGAAATTTTTTTTCTTGGATCATGAATAATTACTGCTGCTTAATTTAAAGCTACTGTCTTGCTGAATCCAAGCATGCATGTTATTCTTCTTCTTGGAAAAATTCAGTTTGAATTGAAATACCTACTAAAAAACTCTCGGCTGAAAATTGAAGAATGGGCCAGTTGCACCAGTCACAGAATCGTGTTTTGATGCTTGATTATTGTAGATTACTGCCGTGCTAAGAAAGAACGCCGTATGAGCCTTCAGACGTTGCCGAGTTCCTTCGATAAAAACCGAATTTACTGGGAAAATTGTGAATATTTTTTTCCAACATTGGAACGATATTCCACAATGAATTGGACTCAACATGGAGTCGTGCTCTCCCTTGGCTGTGGCGATTCTTGAAAGTTGACAACACATTTTTTCTTCCATTTAAATCCATTAAAAATATCGATATCAGATGAGGCAGTGTCTCACCAAGAATCGATTTTTTTTGCATACGTTAAGGGTTATCTACAGCTCCGCGAAGTGAAAAATTTCTCCACGCAGGGGGCGCCTCTGCTGTGTTTTGATATTAAGGGCCACGTAATCAGAGTTCGTACAGCTCATAGTGAGTCCTTGAGCTTATATGCAAGTTATAGGAATTCCTGTTAAAATCGAAGAGTCATAAGTTCTAACTATGACATTTTTCTTCGTTTTGATACTTAAAAAGATATGTAACGTAATTTCTGAAACCCTGCGACTTGATCCTAGAAAAAAGTAGGGTTAAGCAAAATGACTTGATGCGACCAATCACGTGCGATCTTTCTCAGTAGTTGCAGATATCTCTCTCCCACCATGAACTCTCTCTCCTGCACGCCCAGGCATCCCATAAGAGGAACTGGAATCAAATGTAGCCTTTATTAATAAAATAAATAAGCTCGAGTTTGGTTTTTATAATTCCAAACATATCGACGATGTAAGTCGGCAATCACATAACTCGGACGTCGCAGACTTCCTGCCATACTTTATTTTTTAAACGGAAAACTACTCAACGGCAATTCTTTAGAACTGCCGTGGTTTGCCGTGAAATTCTGGAAAAACTTTAAGGAATGATGTCAATTCGTTCTCCTTTAAACAAATATAATAGAGGCGGAGATTTTCAGACACCGCGAACGAGTTCTGTGATTGCCGATTTATACCGTCGATATGCTGCTAGAACTTATGAGTCTTAGAATTCAATAAAGCTGTTGTAACTTTTGAACATTCACGGATTTCGGAGCCAGATTTTAGTAGCGTGGCGTGGTGGTTTTTTCCGGAACACTTTGCTGAAATTTCACCTGAAAATGGAGGAAAAGCGATATTGTCAACTTTCAAGAGCCGTCATTGCCCCTTGGTTATCTCTTTTGCTATATATACACGACCAAAGAAAATTTGGAGACATTTGTGTGACCTTTTGAATTAATTTGAGATGAAACTACGTCCTTTGTTTCTCACGTTAAGTTTCACTTACTTAATAATAACAACTTAATACTAACCCGTTGCTTTTGTAAGGAGAAATTCTTGATTCACGCACCATCAGTATCATCGTCACCACTGTATAAAGCATGCAAAACGTAATCTTCGGTTTTCTGCAGGGGGAAAAATTTGCTTTAAAGCGCTGGATATTGAGCCTTACAATCATAGATATGACAAGCATGTTTATACAACGATGAGTCAAAATCTGCGCAAAATACTTGAGCCGAGCGGCTCAATGTTGTGCCAATGTTAACAGCACATAGGTGATATTAAACCATTATTTATTCTGATGTTGATGAAAATTACCTTTCTCCCGATCACTTTTTATCCGGTGTTCTCAGACGATAGCTATTTCGATGATATAAATCATCATCATCAGGTCTTCGACTTCGACTTCGGTAAACACTAACGGTCACATCTTAAATTGTTAAAACTTACTACATTATTGTTAAAACTTACATTATTTATTCACTATTCCGTTTATACTTTTTTAAAGTTTAGTCAGCATGACCATGTTAAAATACGGCCGCAGTATAAATATAATATTTTCCAATAGTATCAGACTTTTTTATTAATATTTTTTTACTTTAAAGTTTATTCAAACTTTAAGTAATAATATTAATAAAAAATTATTACTTCAATACTGATTTTAATACTATTTTTTTAAAACGTGTGTACAATATTCCATATATTCCATACGAGAAAAATAAAACTTCGAGATAGGTACTCATACTTTTTTCCAAGATAAAGTCATACCTGAAAAGATTGACAATAGTGTGACAATATATTGGATAAATACTTCGCCATACCTGTGCTAGCCAATTTTTTTTTTTTTTTTTTTTTTTTTTTTTTTTTTTTTTTTTTTTACATTTCAAGTATCACACGAGGGATAATCCTGCGCTATAGCATCCCTAGTACCCCCTCCCCTCATCACTAATCAAGCTAGCCCTAGATAACCGTTGTTTGAGACCATCAAACTCGGGTCACCTGGCCGGGAAACGAACCCAGAACCTCCTGATCATAGAGCAAGCGCTACACGGAAAAAAAAGCACGAGGTTTTCTGGATGATATGGACATTTCCAATTAATTGTGTTAGCACCCCAATTAATTATGGTAGTACCCCAATAAATTAGGTCACTAACCCAAAAGTTATGGTACTTCCCTAACTTGAGTTTTGGTACTACCACAATTAATTAGAAATGTCCATATCATCCAACAAATTGGGGTACCACAATTTTAGGGGATAACCCCTCACGCTTTTTTCCGTGATATACAACCACCACGCTACATCTCAGGAGGCCGTCCTAATTTGATCCTTGGTCTTTTTTCCGTACAGGCCACAACCACAACGATATAATTGCAGCCAACGTTACATCTGGATCCATCCTCGATGAATATAGAAACCACTCCATAGATCAGCTACTTTCCTTGAGACACCCCTTGTTTTATGAATACAACTTTGATCCGGAACACCTCGAGGAGCGACTCATCGCAGCTGCTCTTCGTACTAAAACTCCGCCTGAGCAGTACAAATATGAGCTCAAATTATTGATCGGGTCCGTCGGAACGAATCGTCAAGATTTTCCAAAGCGAGACCTCATGAAGAAGTACGACGTCCATTTCTCCTTGCCTAATAACATCGATCCTGATGACGATTTACTACCGTTTCCTGACATGATCACGTTCGAAAGATTAGTTCTCATGTTTCCTCAGTATTTCAGATTCGACCTGGTAGAGTTAGATGTTCAACACTTCAACCCTCAATGTCAACTGGTGAATGCAGAGCTTCCTAAAATCGTTAAATATCCCGCATTTGCAGGTCTCATTCCCTCTCCTGATGAAGCAAAGGGCTTCAGAAAAAATGCAAGAAATGGGTTGCTTAGAGGGTATCTTCTGGGGCAATTTTGCAGCGTCGTCGGGGCTGAAATATCTAAGGAGTATTTCAAAGATTTGGGAGCTATCGGTATGAAACGAATTGAACTCAGTCGGGTGCCGAATGACTTGAGAATTCAATTTTTGAAGGAAAAGGGTTTAGTCAATGTCAATTATGCATTCCCTACTGTATCACAAGATTATTTTGACAGTAGGAATTGTCATTATTACACGCCGTCTGCAGTCTGTAGTATAGTCGAAACTTTGGTACCTGAATTGTATAGGTAATGATCCAGTTTAACGTTTTTCCAGCTAAGTTTTCGAATTGGCTCCTGTCTTTCCACTCTAATTGGCTCCCGTTTGAAATGAGTGACGCCCCTGACGCGCTAGCGCGCCACGCATAGGTACGAGGCGCGTAGTACGTGAATCACATTCTTTGTGAAAAATAAATTTAGATAATATGAAACATTTTTTTCATTTTACACACATTTTAAGAGGGGGAAATAAAACTCAGGCTCAATCATATATACCATTACCCTGAACGGAATAGTGAGTCATCATTACCTTGAGTGGGAATTAAAGCAGAAAAATACGGAAATGGATGAAGTGGAGACTCAAAGCACCTCTTCCACCAATACTTTCCCTCACCCTCGAATCTAAAAAAAAACTGGAAGAGTTCAGAAACATATGTTTAAATAATATCGCATTTGATTTAAGTACATTTTTTTACTGATTAAATTAATTGGCTCTCAAAATTGACTTCTTATTCTTCTTCTTTTTCTTGTTTCATCTCTGCAATTTGTGACTTTTTAATTCCGTATTACGTTTAAAAATATTCAAAATTAGAAATAGGAAGGCAAACCAGTCACATGTAATTTGGGCCTTCTTACCTAAATCTGTACGGTGGGTGAATTTGGGCTGAAATCGATCGTTTGGAGGCTAAATTTGGGGTTATTTTGAGCAAGACTACATACCTTTGTCTCACCTACCTTACTAACGAGTATCATTTTACTAAAGAAATCGGTGAGGGCAGCTTTCCTGAGGAAATATGTGGACTTACCTTCTAGCTTTTTTTCTAAGATGGTGTAAATTTTTGCGTGCCCTCTGACCGCTTTGCGATTCAACCTTCAGAAGGGCTTCGCGCCTCGGGCGTTGGCCGTTATTGTCATGAAATGATATTACTGAGGAAGATAAAACGATAATTCTGTTGTTTTAACCGAATCAATCAGTCCGTTTACGTTTGAATTCGAAGGAAACTCGATTTCGAAAATTTGGGCCTTACTGGTCTCTTCGTAGGCCTTGTCTCCACGGGACGTTTTCATGGGATTTGTCCCAAGTTCGAATCGCAGGAATGAAACTTCTGGGATTTTTCCCAGTTAGGTACCGTCTCCACGGGACGGGGCTCATACAGTCCTGCGACTAGTTTTCGCGGGAAGATAAATCGGTTAAAGTCGAGTATTTAACCGGGATTAAAATAATAATTGCACTCAATTGACAATTAGACACATTATTTTAACTAAACAAACATTAACAATGTAGTAATGAATAAAATATCGCACAATTCGTTTTCACTTCTTCTTCTTCTCTCAGTGGGTCCTAGGGGTACATGTACCATACTTGGTACTTCGTAAGTGGGATTTTTCCCTGGGACAAATCTCGTGAAACGGCTCGTGGAGACAAGGCCAAAAGCTCATTTAGTAGAATTCCCTCATTTAATCGCGGAACTTGATCCTGAAAGCCAGCGGCGAGGCGTGAATAATCAATTATCGATATTTCCCCCATTTGAAGCTGTAGTCAAGAATCGATTGTAGGGAACGGAAATATCGATAACTAGGGAGCTATGCGCTATGCCCCCTGGCCCCCTACGCGGTCTAACACCCGGGGCGCTGTGCACCCCCAAAGGCCGCTTCGCACCCAGAGAAATCTTCAAAATCGCCGGTTGGTGGTTAATGAGCAAATAATTTTAATCAAATAACAAAACGATGTCTCAAAGGAAAATTTCCTGCCAATCAATATTCTCCATGACTTTCTCTTCACTCTGAATTACGATTCCTTTTTTGAAAATCGACCCCTACAGGGTCTCATTATAGCTTCCCCATGACTATACTAGGGCCTCCGAAATTAAAGATCCACTCTATTAAAACTCTGACCTCAAGGTCAGAGTTTGAAGAGAATGCCTGATAAAAGGGTTATTATGATGTAATAATTTATGTAATTTAAAGATTATTTCTAAAGATGTGTAAGCTAATATAAGCTGTTGGATTCATATTTCAATTATAGATCATCCAAGTCTCTTATCTAATGAAGTATATAATTAAGAGTCTCACATCAATTTTGAGACGGACAATAGCTCCTCCGTGCCCAAAAATTTTGTCGGTGGTCGTGGAGATTTACTTGAGCTCGGAGCATCCATTTTAATTTTCCGGAGATTAAGTTGCATACTCAATGGGGTTAAGGAGCTTAGAATGATTGCGATGATCGGCAGTTGAAGTAAGTCGGTTGAAGTAAGGCCGCCTCATGGCTCGTCTGGAAAATTTTGTTGGAAATTTTAATTTTAATTTCTCAAATAATTTTTTTTTTTTAAATTTCAAATTTCAATTTCCAACAACTTTGGCCCTATACATTTTTGTCGTATTCGCCATTGTTGCTACGATATCGTAAAAAACCTAGATTTTCCGCAAATTTTGACTTTAACGTCAATCCGAGGGGTCCAAATGTTGACGAACATATTCAGGAAAATTCAGGTGTTGTCCTTGGAACATTTCACCACTTTTGTGCTGTATCCATTTTTAAACGGAAAAAAAGGCACAAAAACGCTCCACTCTAGCGTGCAACAGCTTACACAGGAAAAATTAAATTGCTGCTTTAACAATTTTGTAGTTAAAAAAAGTGACTATACTGTTTCAATGTAGATTTTACAATGAAAAATGCTAATTTAACCACCCTCTTTGTTAAATTAGCTTTACATGTAGAATGTACATTTGAAAAATTGCAGTCACTTTTTTAATAACCGGATTGTTAAATCAGCAATCCTTTTTCTTCCGTGTAGCCAAAGCACCGAGATTAAGGTCGTCATATGTATTTTCACAAAGCCGATACTGTTACCGTTATGTTAAGTGTTCGATTCATCTCAGTTACACCTTTGTTTTTTCATGAGCTAGAGGTTTGAATCAAAACGTGTTGAATGTCTTAATTAGGAGTTCACTTGAGTAATTTTTGTTGCGCGATTCCTGCTTTAAGTGAAATTTTTGGTTAGAATACATGAATCAGAACACATTAATTCGTAACTTGCCTACTGGTCCATTCGGGGTAAAGTGTCACATACGAGGTGTGATCAAAAAGTTCCCGGACTGGTGCCGCCCTGAGCTGAAAAATGGTCCAAACGAGCTAAACTTAGGCTCGTTTGAAAGCTTATACTCTCACGAGTACACTCCTTTTTAGTTTTTGAAAAAATATTTATTAGTTTTCGCACAGCGTCAATTTTACGGAGACGTGTTTGCGCCGTGCGGCGATTTTGTCTGCGAACGAGAAATGACCAACATCCTTTTCCAACTTTGAGGTGGCTGATAAGACAGGTGCATCCAGCGATCACGCTGATATGAGTCTATCCTATCTCTGGTGTACTTGCACAAGATAAACCACTATTTTTTACCTGAAATGTGTCACTTGGAACGCATCAAGATGCAATTTTTCGAGTTTTTCGTTTTTTTTTTTCGAAAAATTGCATCTTGATGCGTTCCAAGTGACACATTTCAGGTAAAAAATAGTGGTTTATCTTGTGCAAGTACACCAGAGGTAGGATAGACTCATATCAGCGTGATCGCTGGATGCACCTGTCTTATCAGCCACCTCAAAGTTGGAAAAGGATGTTGGTCATTTCTCGTTCGCAGACAAAATCGCCGCACGGCGCAAACACGTCTCCGTAAAATTGACGCTGTGCGAAAACTAATAAATATTTTTTCAAAAACTAAAAAGGAGTGTACTCGTGAGAGTATAAGCTTTCAAACGAGCCTAAGTTTAGCTCGTTTGGACCATTTTTCAGCCCAGGGCGGCACCAGTCCGGGAACTTTTTGATCACACCTCGTAGAACTTCGTCCCAATAAGTCCTCTTGGCACGTCCCATTGATACTGTGTTCAGGTTAAGAATGAAATGAAGGAATACACTGATCAAGCATCAAGGTTCTTAGATTGTGTAAAACAACCTGGATATTTTACAATGTGTTAAATGAGGAAATATGCTGGACTGTTAGCACAATCTGGTAACAATGCTAAACATCAATTTGCAAATACCGCATTGTATGATTAGAAACTTGTTGTGAATGCAGTTATCTTTGTAGCTTATCTTTCAAGCGCTTAAATTTGATCTTTTAAGCTCACTCTCTATAATTCCCTGTATAGCATTGCTCTTTAGCATTAAATTATGGCGCTCTACACAGTTTTTTTTTAAATATGTATTTAAAGATTATTCTCAAAAGGTCTCAAAATCTGGAATTGCAGGCCACTTAAACGCAGACAAGTCATTGACCATTATGACTATAATGTGACCATTATCTCATAGCGGTGGCGAGGCATAAATGATCGATTATCGATATTTCCCCATTGAAGCTACGGTAAAATATCGATTATTAAGGTATTCGCTCCGAACACTGTATTAATCGATCCTTTCCCATATGTTTAAATGGCAGATCAATCGATGTATCGAAAAGCCAGCCGCGCCACTGTCTCATAGATTAGACAAGGACTTAAATGGAGTCAATGACTTTATCATTCAAACGGTTGGTTTAAATTACTTTAACATTGCATTTGTACATTAAATGTGAGATCAAATAAAGTCCTCTCACTTCGTCTGGTAAGTTATTATTTCAGGTTCATTATTTAACTTTTCATAATTCCATGCGTTTTCGAAAATTTGAAACTATGAAGCATTTCAGAATTATATATTTTTGTTCAAAATACACCCCATTATAAAAGTTCTCTAGAGCGAATTTCCTTTGATTTTAACGTATACTCATGAAAAATTAGTTTGGCTTTGTCTGCAAAGGGCTGAATTACTTTATATGTGTCACAGGCAGATAGTCAAATCAGGCATTTTGTCAAATGCCTGGACAAATTGTCAAAGACCATTATCGAAGTTTAGTATGTTTTGACACATAACTCTAAAGTGTTTAACGTTTTAGCGTAAACACACTTTCTTCGCATTTTCCTTTCTATGTGCTTCCCTCCCTAATTTTTCACCGTAAAAATTTGAAAGATTCAGTATTTTATTACGTAGGAAATTTTCCGGTTAGCCGCGGTCATATAGTCATCCGACAAAGGCACCTCTCAGCGATACTAAAAGATTTTCCAGTCAGGGTACCGTACCGCCGAATAAGCACTTCGATGTATTTATTCTAAAATTAGCAAAAGCACCAACATCAAAGAGTAAGATTACTTCATTATCTGCCAAGGCATATTTGACAAAGTTCCTAATTTGATTATTTGCGTGCGACGTATGTATTAATCGGAATCTAGAAGGTCTGAACCATTTTGGCTTTCGTGAAACGCAAACAAAGACCGTACCCTGACCAGGCAAAACTTGAAAAACAGTGATTTTACGTAAAACACATCATATTCATTCCAACTTTGGCACGTATGAACGTAATTATGGTAAAAGGAACCATGTGCATAGGATTTGCGTGTAACATAGTTCCTTTTACTATAAATGAGCCCATCATTCAACTATGGCTTAAATATCATCAAACACCCAGCGGGATGATTAAATTAAATATTGGCATGGCTCGTTTGTTTGCAAGGGAAAATGAAAGTGATAACGACCTCCGGATGAACATGTATTGCTCCATATGTCTGATTTCCTGGATGATAGCTGCGCTTTGTCTATCACAAAAAGCTCAATCTCACGATAATGAATGGTACAAGACAACATCCATTTACCAAGTGTACACGAGATCTTTCATGGATTCAAATAATGATGGTAATGGGGACTTGAAAGGTGAGTGCTCTAACCCTCCAGCAATCTACGGAACAAATACTGGACCTTGAATAAAATGAAAGAAGAACGACGGCGGCATGAGTGACGTAAGGGGCCCCTCAAATGGACTACATTTTGCAACTTGGAACTATAAATTCTAGCCCGGTTTAATAACAACGTATGTGTCATTAGTTTCCCTAAGTACATACGTGTTTTTCCAGAAGAGCCAGGATTTATAGTTCCAAATTGCAAAATGCACTCCAAATATGATGCAAGGCACTATTACGATTTTTTATCCCTTACTTCCTTGTAACGCATCCGTAACGCAGCCCTACACTCCCGTTTCAATAGCGTAACGCTGGCTTGACCCCCCCTACTTTCAAAAAATTTATTCGGGAAGGCGGGATTTTCAGTTTTTGCACGTTTTTCCGAATTTTATTTTCCTCCGCCTCGGGTTTGTTATGTAAAGCTGGGGTTTACCCCCGCCCCCTTTTCAGACCCAACTCCCCCCTAAAGCTTGCCGATTTTTATTTCAAGCATACTCGTATAGTTCGATAGTTCGGATGTATACGACATATACCACCTACTGAGAACTGAGATCGTTTCGATGCCCGACTTATCCTCTCTATTCTACGAGGGTCATCCAAAAAGTAAGTTTCCCAACCTTTATCTTCCGAACGAAAACAGATACATTAAATCGGTAAAAAGACACATGTTAGAGATACTCTGAGCTTTGAAAGAAGCCCAAGTTTTTGAAAATCGGTCAAGGGGTTTGCAAGTAAAGTTAATTTTACTGAGACAGCCTCCTGTCGCCGCGTGCCACCTCGAGTCGATTTATGTCAGACTCGGGTATTCGCCTCTACACATAACATCAAAAAGGAATTTAAAAATTTCATTGAGTAGGTCTTACCTTTCTTTTTGACGTAGGCTCCACATCTTTTTTGACATTTTTGGTATCGTTACAGCAGCTTCTTGATGCCTTCCGGGTAGAAGCTCTCGCCTTGGCTCCGAAACCATGTCATTGACAGCGATCTGCACTTCCAAATCAGTTGCTTTGCGTCGGGAAATTTTCCCCCAATCCTCCGTACTCTCTTAATTTAGCCTTATGTGACTTTCATCATCTGTCTCCAAGCGGAAAAACTTCAACGATGAAAAGCGATTGCCAACCGGCTCCGAGGTACAGATCGCAGTCAATGACTATAGTTTCGGAGCCAAGGCGAGAGCTTCTACACGGAAGGCATCAAAAAGCTGCTGTAATGATACCAGAAATGTCAAAAAAGATGTGGAGCTTGAAGTAAAAATCGGCACCTTTACGGCTTATATTGGTTATGCCATCTATTTCTGCCTTGTAACCTTATTGCGCTTCGAGGTTATTAACGGAATGAAATCATCATCAATACATCTCAGATCATAGGCTTTGAATTTATTTTTGATTTTAAAACTCCTGTGGTTATAAATATGAAGTATAAAAAGTTTCATTTCAGGTATACTTGAGAAACTGGATTATATTCAAGATTTAGGATTCGAAACAATTTTTATCGAGTCCATTTTGAAATCACCTTTCATCGATGGAGGATATGACGTTTCTGATCATGAAGACGTAGATCCAATTTTTGGCACCACGAAGGAATTGAAAAATTTGATCGATGAAATTCATGACAGAGGTACGATCGATCAAGTTCCAATTTTTAAAAGTTAAGAAAGTCAGACTAAAAGTCCAACATTGGAGAGTATATTCTGGAAGAGTTGATAAAAGAACTTCACTTATGCACTATGCAGATCAGTCGTGAGCGCTACCGGACATTTGCACGAATGGTTTTGTTTTTGAGGTAATGGACATTTGCACAAATATGCCTAATTATTTCTTTATGTTGGAGAGGTGGAAGCACTGAAGTAGCACAGTAAAGATGTCCGCACGAGCGATAATCGAATGATTTATAAGAGGTTATCGGATCTTTAAATTATTTCCCTTTTCCTGGATTTTGTCATGCTTAACTACCTCAATGCCATTAGACGCAAAGTCCCTCCGACAATTTGGTAAGCTAAATTTTCACCTCATTCAATTTCCTCCAACTCTGGGTAATTTTCACCCTCAGAAGTAAAAAAAAAAAATGTCTTTAAACACGCCCAATGATGGGAACATTAGACAGTCCTAAGCCTGTAGAAGTGTGTACGGAAAGTTTTAAATTTCATTATTCCATATGCCCTCGTGCTTCGTTGCTGAATGGACTGAGTTAAGCAGAAAGGAACCAACCCACATTTTGGAAAAAATTGAGTTATGAGTGGTTTTGAACTCAACCGCTGCTCTACTATCTCTCGCCAAAAATTCAAAGTTTTTGTTGGAGCAAATTTTGCAGAAATTGAACTTGAAGTTTATCTTTTACATTGAGTCTTATGCAGAAGCTGAACTTTAAACCTCTTTTTCTCGGTTCGATCCCGATGTGGCTTGGTTTCTTTCTGTTTAACTCTGTCCAAATGGTCTTTGTGCAAATGACTACTGTTCCCTTTCGTGCAAGTACCCACAAAATATTGGACATTTGCAAAAATGTGTGTGCAAATGCCCATCAACCGTGTTAAGGCGTGAATGATCGAACATCAATATTTGACCATTCAAAGCTGTGGCAAAGAATCGATTATTAAGATGTTCGTTACGAACACTCAGTTTATCGATCCTTTTCCATAGGTTTATATGGCAGATCAATCGATACATCGCAACGACTCCACGCCATTAATGCAGGTAATACTTTCCTTTTTCAGCAACAATGTTGAAAAAAATAGATTAAGAACACAGCAATTTCAACGTTGGATCACTATTATATTATAGCTGTTAGATTTGGAAACTGAGGGCACGATGTGGAACCAATTTTCAAGTGGGCCTCTCTCGAGCTATGAGCATCCTATGTCCAATTCGCCAGCCTCCCCCCCCCTCCCTACCCTCACCAAATTTAACTTTAGAGCTCCTGGGTAACTCAGAGTTAGCTTGTTTTCCACATGTCAAGAAATCCACTCAAAATCACGTAGACGTTGCATGTACATCGTCATCAAAGTAGATCAATTTTGAAGTTTCCAAATGTAGCTTCCTTATCAATTTAAATGTGAGTTCGTTCATCGTCCTTGACTCAATGTAACTCAACCTAAAGAACTTGAAAAATAACATGCCAACATCGAATTTAATGAAGAGAATTAAGTTTGGAACTAAGAACTACGTCGGAACTATAAATGCTAGTCGACGGCGATAATGCAAAAAATGTATATCTCGGTTGCAGTGTTCCAAAATTTCCGCTCCTACTTATTTTTTCTATAGGAGGTTGAATCAACACCATGACTTAAAAGTCGCACAGAATATTCTTCGCATAGAGAAAAAAAAATTCCTGAAGGTTTTTCAAAAAATGACGTTAACTTTAATAGTTAGTCATAAAATTATAATAGACGTGTAGTTTTAATAGACGTTTAATAGTTTCCTTTTTAAAATAGAATGGCTAAAAATTCGAACACCGAGATACGCATTTCTGTAGATTCACTGTCGAAATGCAGCTACTCTCGCAATAAATATTCGGCACATTCCGAGGTTGAGAAAAAGTCAGTGAAGGTGGTTGAATTACAATTAATCAAACTCGATATTATTATCTAAAATATGTTTTGTCAGAATATCTTTTTTTTTCAATGAAGGCTCAATCTACTAATTAATCGACTAAAGCTTTTTTGTAATACTCTCAGGAATGAAAATTCTACTTGATTTCGTTCCAAACCACACAAGTGTTGAGCATGAGTGGTTTAAAAGGTCCGTCAATAGGGAGGCTCCTTACACGGATTTTTATGTTTGGGAAAATCCGAGAAAGTACGACCCGGAGACCAACCAACCGATCCCACTTAACAACTGGGTAAGATGACAGAAAATTGCATTGGTAACATTTAAAAATTAAAAATATGCAAATATGTGGAGAATAAATTCAGTCTAAAAATAACACGAGTACTTTTGCTCCATATTTATTTGGATTGGGCTAGGGTCACAAACCTTTGGGTGAATTCTATTTCTTCATGAAGATAAGGTATAATAAACAGCTAGGGTTCTTTAAGCACCATAAAATCGCACTGAAGAATTGCTGGTTGGCGAGGACATTTATTTAAAGGTGCCTTAACAAAGTAAAGTCAATAACACTTCAGCAAAGAGAGCTAGATACAAAAAGAGGGCAGTCATACGTCAAAAATCAATACGTCCTAGCACTGCCGTGCTATAGCACAAGGAAGAGTGCCGTATGAACATTCTATAGTTGCCAAATTTCCTCCTCAAAAATGAACATTTTTGAGGAAAGTTATGAATATTTTTCCTTGAAATTTCCAGACACTTCCGATCAAATTACTAACAAAATTATCGTAGATATTGGAGGTAAAATATTCCCAAATTTTCCTGAAAATTATTGATATGTCGAGGGAAATTCGGCAATGCCTGAAAGCTCATACAGCATTTTTCCTCAGCTCGGCAGAACAGGACGATGAAATTGGAACGGGGGCAAAAGGATATTTGAAAAAAGAAAAAAAAAGATGAGGAGTTAAAAATTTACATATGGAGCCATTGCAATAAATCGATGACAAAAAGAGGCTTAGTTTTAGGCCCAGTTTGGCTTTTGAAGGTAATTGGCAGCAATATACACCAGTGGCGTGGCGTGCTTGCGATATATCGATTGTTATGCCATTTAAACCGATGGAAAAGGATCGATAAACTGGGTGTTCGCAGCGAACACCTTAATAATCGATTCTTTGCCGTAGCTTCAAATGGCTTAACAATCGATACATCGCAATTCACGCCACGCCACTGATATACACGTGGGCCAACAAGAAAAAAGCACTGAGAGGCTCCTCAAAAACCGGTCCTGTATCTATCCTTTTATCACGTTGTTTCAATATGTGGTATTAATTGTATATCATCTTGTTCTTCCAAATGAACAGAGTGAACTTTTAAAATAAAACTCCGAACGGTAAATGAATCAGTGAGGACGAAAACACACCAACACGAAAAGATGAAAAAAATGAGGACACACACAAAACTGCAAAGTAGGTGAAGATGTAAGTCCGAGAAGAAGATTTTCGGTGCCGAAAGACAATTACTTAAGGACACATTAAAGGTTCAAGCTGGAACAGATTCGCTAACTTCAATGACCTTTATGAAAATTGACTGTCCTTAATGAAAATTGAGGATTTTAGAGTTGCCGAGTTGGTGTGTTTTCGTTTTCACCGATTCAAATATTTACATATCAAAGTTATACTGTCCAATTCCTCAGCTGCGGCTCGAATGTCTTCATTACAGGCACGCTGTGGCGACAAATTAGTATGAAAATTCATTGTGAGTAATTCATTTTTCTTTATATTTTATCTTTCTACCACCTAATTTTTAGATTAGCAATGAGCATGGTTCTATGTGGAAATGGAACAATAAAAGGAATCAATTCTATTTGCATCAGTTCTTGCCCGAGCAACCTGATCTAAACTACCGAAACCGGGCAGTAAGAGAAGCAATGAAGGTTAGTCAAAGAATTGGGCATATTTTTAATCCTCACAACAGTAGAGGTGGTGCTGGCTGGTCATCAGACCACAATTTTGCTGTAAAAATAAACACCCGGAAATATACCATTTGGATTCAGTTTTGTGTACACTCAAGAAAAAAATATGAACGAGAAAATTACCATTGATTTAAAAAAAAAAATAAAAAAATATTTAGATTCTAACCCCTTATGAAGAAGAAGCTTTTGATTTACGACCGTTTTTTGATTACGCAACCGTTGAAACGTCCTGCCTCCGCCCAAAATACGAGGGTCGTCCAGAAAGCAAGTTTACGTATTCAATTTTTGTTAACTTAAATTATATGACGAAATTCTATAGATAGCGGTAAAAAGTCAATCCTCTCAAAATTTTAACGCATTACAGATTTTAAAATTTAGTGCAATAGATCTCTGAAAAACTAAATTTTCCTCCTCTTCGCGTGGGACTATTTCATGGAGCGTCAGTGCGTCACCAGCGAAAGAGCTGCTGTATTTAATGGAACAAATGGACACAAACCCAGTAGAGAAATGGCGCGCGTTGTTGACGGCGTAGAGATACAACTATTCGTACTTGGTGGATGTCCGTGTTGCATCTGCAAAATTGAAGGCGCGATGACGGGAAACGTGAACTCGCAATGCTGCCCGTGAAGTGTTGTTCAGATTTAGGAGAAAAGTAAAAANCGAGAAGAAGATTTTCGGTGCCGAAAGACAATTACTTAAGGACAAATTAAAGGTTCAAGCTGGAACAGATTCGCTAACTTCAATGACCTTCATGAAAATTGACTGTCCTTAATGAAAATTGAGAATTTTAGAGTTGCCGAGTTGGTGTGTTTTCGTTATCACCGATTCAAATATTTACATATCAAAGTTTTACTGTCCAATTCCTCAGCTGCGGCTCAAATGTCTTCATTACAGGCACGCTGTGGCGACAAATTAGTATGAAAATTCATTGTGAGTAATTCATTTTTCTTTATATTTTATCTTTCTATCACCTAATTTTTAGATTAGCAATGAGCATGGTTCTATGTGGAAATGGAACGATAAAAGGAATCAATTCTATTTGCATCAGTTCTTGCCCGAGCAACCTGATCTAAACTACCGAAACCGGGCAGTAAGAGAAGCAATGAAGGTTAGTCAAAGAAACGGGCATATTTTTAATCCTCACAACAGTAGAGGCGGTGCTGGCTGGTCAACAGACCACAATTTTGCTGTAAAAATAAACACCCGGAAATATACCATTTGGATTCAGTTTTGTGTACACTCAAGAAAAAAATATGAACGAGAAAATTACCATTAATTTAAAAAAAAAAATAAAAAAATATTTAGATTCTAACCCCTTATGAAGAAGAAGCTTTTGATTTACGACCGTTTTTTGATTACGCAACCGTTGAAACGTCCTGCCTCCGCCCAAAATACGAGGGTCGTCCAGAAAGCAAGTTTACGTATTCAATTTTTGTTAACTTAAAGTATATGACGAAATTCTATAGATAACGATAAAAAGTCAATCCTCTCAAAATTTTAACGCATTACAGATTTTAAAATTTAGTGCAATAGATCTCTGAAAAACTAAATTTTCCTCCTCTTCGCGTGGGACTATTTCATGGAGCGTCAGTGCGTCACCAGCGAAAGAGCTGATGTATTTAATGGAACAAATGGACACAAACCCAGTAGGGAAATGGCGCGCGTTGTTGACGGCGTAGAAATACAACTATTCGTACTTGGTGGATGTCCGTGTTGCATCTGCAAAATTGAAGGCGCGATGACGGGAAACGTGAACTCGCAATGCTGCCCGTGAAGTGTTGTTCAGATTTGGGAGAAAAGTAAAAAGAAAGGAGACCCAACTCCGAGTTTCCTCTTTGACTGTGTTGCGTTCACACTGGAAAAAAAAAAAACACATTGGATCTACAGTCCAGACTCTTAAAAACATTGACAAGAAAAAGGACTCTTGATTCAAGCAGATTTAAGCTTAAATCAAAAGGAAATCCGCTCAAACTAAAAGGCTTGGTTCTCGATTCAAGCTTAAATCTGATTGAATCAAGAGTATTTTTTCTTGTCGATGTTTTTAAGAGTCTGGACTCTAGATCCAATGCGTTTTTTTCCCAGTGCACGTATTTTAGAAGCTTTACTACAAATAAAACAAAGGGAGATGAAGCTAACACAATGCGAAAATGGAGCAAGGAAAAGGAAGCTCGTTGTTGACGGCGCAGAAATACAACTATTCGTACTTGACGGATGTCCGTGTTGCATCTGCAAAATTGAAGGCGCGATGACGCGAGTTGTTCCCTCGCACAGATCTCCTCAATGTTGCCCGTTAGTTATCACTCCTGTTAGGGAAAAAAGGTAAAAATTTAACGATATACCACAGTTTGACCAAAGGCAACTTAATTTTTCCATGTACCAAAATTCAGACCTACCAATTATATCCAAATAAATACGGTCAACCCTTGCTAATTACAAGCTGTTGAATGTCCTGTCCTATGTTTTATTTGACATCAGACCTTCTTAAGGTACTTTCTTGCGATAAGCAATAAATATAGCCGCTAAATTGCTGGCGAAGCTTAAACCCGCGCTGAGAAGAGGTGAGTTCTAAAAATCCACTATTTTAGAGTTTCATTGGAACAAATTAAAAAATCTATCCTGCGTTAAGAAGCTGAGAGTAGTGGCTCACTGACAATGTTTACAGATTTTCTTAACCTGTTTTAGTTTGTGGATTTATAATAAGTAGACTCATTCCTGGACCTAGATTGTTCACTTGAATGTCGTGTGAGAATTGAAGCACAGTTTCATTGGGCAAAGAAATTCACGAGTACAAGTCGCAAGTTCGTCTGTGGAAAGAAATATGTGTCACAAGAAACTTGAAGATTTTCATTCTTGAAACTCATAATTAGTGAATTCTTCATGTAATTTAATACTCCAGACGTTTTTTGCTTCCGAGTTTGGAAATTCTATTTTTATGCATAGGAGTACCGAAAAATCATGACTTTGGGATTTTACGGCTCCTCACCGTGGAATGTGATGATTAATTTTTTTCTGTTAAAGGAAGTCTTTAGATTTTGGTTAAATTTGGGTGTTGATGGGTTTCGAGTGGATGCGATTGGACATCTGATAGAGGATGCCATGCTGAGAGACAACCCATGGAAACCTGGCATGTTTGGAGTAGATAGCTATCATGCCCAGATTCACAAGTACAGTAAAAATCAGGAAGAAACGTACGAAGTAAGTCACGAGTGGCGTTTACTGTTGGATGAATATGGGGCAAGCACCAATAAATCCAGGTAGATTGCCTTGTTTGTGACGTCATTTCACTGTCCCTTATTATAACACTTCATAACGCGTTAGATTTCATATGATCGTTTGCCATCCACATATTCACTACAGAGAAAACAAGGAGGTGTTTGTGTTTCGGGCATCTTGGATTTTTTTGATGACGTAGATCGGTGCGGACGATTTTTATCATCGATTTTCTTGGAAATGGTGTAAATTATGGAGAAAAATCATTTTATATACAGTGTTTGAAATTATATCATGAGTTGATTTACGCAAAAAATCGGACTTTATAGTCAATTTTTTCATACTTCGATTTCCGGATTTTGCTGGAGTACCTGTACCGACCTACGTCACGGGGTAAACAAACCTCAAGATGCAAATATCTACTTTTTTGCTCTATACATATTCACTGGCGGTCTGAAGGATTAATCCCTCCCCCCCACAAACCAGACTCCTCTCGATCCCCTCCTCGGGTGTTCAATAATTTCTCATGTTACAAGGTTCTAAAACGTTTGATATTCTTACTTCCGCCAAAAATTCGCCTGCCCCGGCTTCGTATACAATCTTAGCAGGTGCCTGGATGTACATGAAGAATCTTGATAGGACATGTAAAAGGAGACCTAATCTTCCAAAAATTCAAATTTGCGTTATTAGCACCACTGCATAGTGGAAGAAAAATTCGACATTTTGACGCAAGTTTGACCTAGAGCATCTTTATGAAATGAGTATACGAACACGTCAAAATATGCATTGGCGAATCCACCAAATTGGCAACATTGTTCTTCTCCATTTAAACCTATGGAAATATATCGATTCTTGGAGGGGCCAGGTGCTCCGACAAGAATCGATTATTTAACAAAGGTTTAAATGGCGAAAATCCGGCGTCGCCAAATTGCTGGATCCATTCCTGGAAATACGGTGCTTTTAGGGCCAAAGAGCAGCGATGAAAACACGAGAAGCACTGACAAATATTTGTTTAATAGGAAAAGATACGATTTGAAGATACACGCACTAACGTAACGTAACAAAGACGATTTGTCGGGTCTATACATACATTAAAGCCGTTTTGAAACTAGCTCTCTCGCGCTTTGCGACGCCTGTCCGCCACTTCATCGTGATATGGAAAAACGTCGTATGAACATTCGAGAGTTGCCAAAATTCCTTCGATGAAATGCTTATTTTTACCGACAGTTATGAATATTTTCCTTTGACCTTTTCGGATGTTTTGGATCTGATCTTGAATAAAATTCTCAGAAAATTTTGAAGAGAAATATTCCCAGATTTCCCTGAAAATTCAAATTTATCAAAGAAAATTTGATAATGCCTGAATGCTCGCAGGACGTTCTTCTTTACATGACAGCACAGTTGGAAGTATTTCTGCCGAACGGAACTATGTGCATTATGACGTGAGCCTCGTTACGGATATATTCTTAAGGGTCTCAGGGCTCATGTCTCAATGCACATAGTTCCGTTTGGCAGAAATACGTCCAGTTCTCTCTCTCTCTCTCAGAAGCTTCCGTTATGAGGACAGAGTACACTGTTCCCACGACCGAAGTTCTGTTCTCACAACAGAAAAAATCTGTAAGTGTAACAAAGAAACTGCAGGAGCCCTGTGAACAGAAGGTTCTGTCGTCAGCACCATCCATTTTTTTCTGTGTTCTTTGGCAGCTTTTCCACTCTTCCCATAAATTAATATTTCTTATTTCAGGGTAATGGGATTTGAATCTTTCGATCCTCCGGCAACCATTCAAAAGCACATGGGTAATGAGACGTATAAAAATCTACATTTTCATTTGGCTCCATTCATTCTTGACAGGGATTTGAATTCAAGTGGGATTCTAAATTGGATCCAAACGCAACTGAGGGTCTCATCGCTATCCGGAGCACCGAGTTGGTCGGTGAGTCATAATAATAGTCATAAGTGATAGTCATAAGTGAATAGTAGTTAATAATAGTCATATCGATATGGCTAAAGTGCGGAACCACATATCGACGGTGTAAGTCGGTAATCACATAACTCGTTGCGCGGCAGAATATATTTTCCGCACAAAGTATATTTGTAGTACTTTTTTCGATTGTCGTTGCCGCACAAAATAATTTTCGCACAAATCAGATCTGTAACATCTGGCAGCATCGGAAAAGCATGCAGTTAGATAATTGAAAGTAACCGGGGTAAAAATGTGCTAGTTTATAAAAATGTGAAATACCGTTATTTTTGACTTCAAAAAAAAAGGAAGATCGTTTGGCGATGTTCCGTTGATATGCTAAGTTGCTATGCTAATTTTTTCAATCTTTGTTCACTCATTTTTCTTTCATATGCCTCATATTTTTCTCGACGTTTCCACATACATGTAGTTGATCTTCTTTCACCGCATCTGAACACTCGAGTTCAATTATGTTATATTTCCTAGGTTGGTAATCACGACTGGGGAAGAGTCGGGGATAAAGGAGGCCCAGAGATCTCCTTACCCACTTTCATGATAATTTTCCTACTCCCAGGAGTGGTAACCTCTTACTACGGTGAGGAGATTTCGATGACAGAGCTTCCTTTACGCCCAGATCAAGAAGACAAGGACCCGCACGATGCGAATAAGTACAGGACCCCAATGCAATGGGACGATTCTCCTAACTCAGGCAAGTTTAATCATCCATGTGTCTTCCATTCGAAATTCAATGGAATGGCTCGTTGCGCTGGTCGCACAGAATCGTGCTTTGATGCTTGATTCTTCTAGAGTCCCTTTATGCTGAGAGTCAAGACAATTCGGCTCATGGATGTCAGAACCGGGAATAAAGATTACAGAAATTGAACGTTTTTCGTAATCTTTGATCGGCCCATTCTCAAATGCCTTTCTCCGTTCCTCCTCTCATTCCGTTTGTTCCTTGCCGAACCCGTAATTCCCTGGTCCATTCCAGATCATAATCTTTGCAATTGGTGAAAATGTAATCTTTATTCCCGTTTGTGACACTGTGGAGGCCTAAAATACGGGAACCAATCAGAAATGGATTCAAATTGTCTTGACTCTCAGTATAAAGGGACTCTAGATTCTTCAAGCCGCTGACGTCACTGGCGCTTTATAATTCCCATTCATTCTTACGGCCCTCGACCAACGAGCACACCCCTCCTTTCTAACCTGCCTTTGTGGTTCTGTGTAGCAGAAATACGTCTCATTTAAAAGTGTGAAGAAACAGATCGGCATGCACGTATCGGTCACATGACTGTTAAAAACTATACAACATTAATAATACATACTGACGGTGTAAGTCGGCATTCACATAAATCGGTTTGCGACGTCGGAGACTTCCTGTCATGCTTTACTTTTTAAACGGAAAACTGCTCGTTGGCAATTCCTTAAAACTGCCGTGATTTTTATTCTTTGTGCGGAGAAAATTCTGCAAAAACTTCAAGGAATGATGTCGATTCGTTTTCCTTTAAGAAAATAACATAGAGGCAAATATTTTCAGACACCGCGAGCGAGTGTGATTGCTGACTTACACCGTCGATATGTTTGCTTTGATTGCAGGTTTTACAAAAAAGAGGATACCCTGGTTGCCTGTGAACCCAAATTATTGGTCAATCAACGTAAAGAGGCAAGCGGGGGAAAAAGATAGCCAGTTGAACAATTTTAAACGTCTCATGGAACTCAGGAAGACACCTACCGTCAGGAATGGAGAGTTGGCCATGTGTACGCCTACTCCTTGGCTTTTTGTTTTTCAAAGGTAAGGCCAAAGAGGCAAGAGGAGGAGACTTTATCGGGGGCGGACTGGCCTGGGTGGGAGGTCGGGATCCCTAACCAAAAATTTGAGCAGAGCTCGCTGAGGCCCCAACGAGGGTTAAAAAAAGGGCTTAAAAGAAAAGAAAATTCGGAAGACTTCAAAGTGACCTGTATCGGCGCCTCAATCTTGGACTGCAAGGGGCCTCGAAATCCAGAAAATCCCCAGTTCCCCGACTTTTAAATGAAAAGATATTACGATCTCTAATGATCGCAAACTAGAAATGTGTTTTTACAGTTGAAGGAAGTGGATGTCCAGTTCGGCCTCCGGGCCCAAGATATTTTCTACAGATCATCGAAGGTAAACCGTTTAAAACAGCGAAAATAGAATTTAAAGGGGTCCAAATTGTGATTTTTTTCTCCCTTGTATCGTTGGGGGAGGGGGGAGAAGAGAGGAAGGTTGTTTGTCCGTTACCCCAAAAATATTGTTATGTTTCAGGGTTTGTGCTCCTGCCCTCTTATCTCATAGTTTTCCTTAATATTCAAATACTGTATACTTAAGATTCAAGAAAAATCACAGTAAAGGGGTGAAGTCCGTCCATTTTGAAAACAGAGTTAATAATTCACAAATTTTAAGCTGTAATACTGCCTAAAAAATTCCTGGGGGAGGCTCTCTGACCCCCCTATTCCCCGGTATTCCGCCCCCCCCCCAACCAACGATTTTCTCGGCCCCTGGACCTAACCTGTGAAGATGGTTTGTTGTAAACTTTAGCCGGAGCAAAAAATAAGAGTTTTCCTCAACAGAAAATATCTCATAAAGTCTAAAATGCACCCCTAACTTCACAATCTGCGTTTTCTTGAGATTCCCGCCTCAAAAACGATACTACGGCACAGGTGAACATTTTGTCAGAGGAGTCGTTCCATCTAACTCCTGCTCAATAGGATGCTACTCAATATTCAACATGGCCGAAAAATGCCAAAAGATGTGTGACGGGACGAGATTCTGACCACCTGAGGACAATCGGCGTCTTCAAATTTTCCTCGCGTTGAGACTCTTGAGAGATGTCCATCTTGATTGACCTCGTGCTCCCCTCGACTTACACGCGTAAGCGTCGGCCACAATCCATATTCCAAAACACCCTATTGAACAGGGGTTGAATAGGACGACCCCTCGCACAAAATGCTCACCTGAGCTGTAGTATATCGTTTCAGAAGCGGGAAGCTCAGAAAAACGCTAATTTTTTACGCAGGTTGTGAAGTTAGGGGTGCATTTTAGGATTTGCCGATGTGTTCATCATGATTTTTAGACATTTTCTACAAGGAACAACTCCAATTTTTGCTCCAGCAAAAGTTTGCAACAGGCCCGCATTCACAGAAGAAGAGTGAAGGGTGGAAATAGTAACCAAGTGACTAGATCTGCGAATGAAGGGTCATTTTCTTTCAAGACTAAGAAAATATATTTGAAATATATTGAACCTGCAGTTTTCATAAAATATTTATTGATTAATTCCTTTAATATTTTTTTCTTCAAGGTATCTAGATGGTGAAGCACCAATCGTAGTGGTTGTCAATTTAGGCACAGAGATGGAAGTTATCAGTGTGAATGACTGCTCATTTAGTCTGCTGAGGGAAATGGAAATTCATACCGCCAGTCCCAACTCTGGTTTCAAAACCGGGTAAGTCAAGAAAGGTAGTTGGCCGGACGTTGAGAGAACGGATACACGGAACATATGGATGATTAGGAATAATAAAATGGGTTCAAAGCGCTCAAAGGCAAATACCTACCGATGGACCACTAGACAAAGTGCGAATTTAAGCATTACGATTAACGATATTTTGTTAAAATTTTACTTTGAACACGAGTTGAAAGTAACAACTCCAAACAAAGATATGAAAGTTTGCCGATGCACAAAGTCAAACTTCCCCCTCATCGAAAAGACAATAATCTGCTTGAATTAAATAACACACTAAGCGTTATCTGAACAATCTTTGTGGTATGAAAATAAAATAACCGTATACCGGCGCCTCAACTCAGTGTCAGCTATTAAACGTTTTTTCACACATTGAACAACACACCGTCGGTGGAACTCCCATGTATTGTGATTGTGCGGTATTTAAAAATGCCCGCTCCCATTTTATTTTTTTCAATGAGAACAAATCAACGTCAGTCCATGAAATGTTCATACAGAATTTCCATCACGCAAAAGAAGAAATTCACGGAGAATTTTGAGAAGTGCCGCTGAAAAGTTTTTCATCTAAAAAAGAAAGTCTGCCATGTCGCAAATCGAAATACATGGCTTTGGAGCTATACCATCGACATGCATGCAGGGTAGGGGAGAGCCATTGTTTATTGAGAAGCCTATCAAAATCGTTGAAATACGCAATTTGATTCATGAGGAATTAAATTCCGAAAAAACCAAACATCATATCTCTCTGAGGGAAAATTGTCCTGAAGTTAGCTTTTTTCTCACTGAATTGAGATTTTCAGCTTTATGTTGAATTAGAACGCACGTTGGTTACACTACCAACTTATTGTCTGAACAACTCGTGCGTCTACCACGATAACTTCGGAAATGCCTAAATGCGTATCTTGTCTAGTGATCCATTCTCGTTAAATTTAAGGACGTCTATGTCAAATGCTTTCGATATTCTGTCATTTTATATCAATTTCAAATCATATGAGGGGCTTGGAGGATAAGGCACGTAAGTAGAGTTTTGGAGTAGAAAACAATTGAGATATTGATGATTTCAAGTAAAATTAGTTTTAAAGCATATTCTGTGAAAAATTTGCTCCCAAATTCAAATTTTTAAGCATCAAAAAGTCAGTTGGACTTTTTTTTCCATCATAAGGATCCATGCGATTTCGAAACTTCAAACACGTATTTCTCGAAACAACAGAGGGTTCACTAATGCGCCGTGTCCTTCAAGCCCCTCTTTTATACGGATATAGTGCTGAGCACCAACTGTTCAAATCAAATGGAGCCAGCTAGTACGGCAGTATAGTGCTGGAGTCGGTCAACATTAAGGTCAGCTCTACAGACTGTACGACTGTACGTCTCAGCAGTACTGCCATATCAGCTGGCTCCATTTGATCTGAACAGTTAGTACTCAGCACTATGTCATTTTTTCTGTGTTGCATCACAAATATGGGTCTCTTCAATATAAGATCTTTTCTGCCTTCAGGGACAAACTCGTAGTATGTAACGCCAATGATGGGACCCATTGCCCAGAGCTGCGTCCAAGATCTGGGTTGGTATTGACATCTATCTCAAGCTCTGCAAGTAGTATTGCTGGCATTCCTGTGCATCCTCTTCTTACAGCTGCTCTTTCACTTGCAGTATCCTCTTTTCTTTGGAAATATTATTAAATTTTGTAGAATGGGCCAAGAGACCAAGGGCTGAATTAGATGAAAGCATCACATGTTATCTCCTCAAAATCTCGCATCAAAAACAGTGCACAAAACGGAAAGTTCGGAAATTAACTCCTGAACGAACTATTACCAGTATTTTAAACAAGAATCTAATGAAAGTTAGATTGTAAAAATTTAAGGACGTCATTTGTATTTTTATCATTTAATTAATATTAATATATGTAGAAAACACTTATATCTTTTTTAGGAGTTGATATCCAGACTTTCCGTCGTGTGATTTCTCTACCTCGTGAAATTTTGAAGCGAAAACGTGTAGCGTTGTGCCTAAATTCATAACTTATTGCGAGAGGCCTATTGAAGTTGGAATTTTAAATATTCTATCCATATTTGTTCACTTGATCAGTTGGACGAATTGGACTACATTTTTCAGTTCGGTTGCAATACCTGGTTCAGTTTAGAAACAATATATGTGCCTTTAGTTTTTCAAGAAACTGTAGTTCCTAATTCTAAAATTTCTTCTATGTAATTCTTAAATCTTGTCTCGATGTTTTTAAACAAATAAAGTATCTACTTTCTCAAACAAAGAGGCTTTACGTTTTTGTGTAAGGGGGCTTTGGGCAAAATGTTATGACACAAACAAGTATTTATCGATCCAAAATATTGACTCCTGAATCCTGTGCTTATGATCAGTTCCGAATCATTCTAACGTCAAGTCCTGCTCATTCAATTTTTAGTTTTATAATATCAATGTTTGGTTATAAATAAGGAATGAACAAACGGTTAATGCGTGGTTAGTGGAAAAATTGTGTAGGCCACGACCTTTAGTAATGGATGATATTGAATTTATTACGGTTTGATAGAAATGCGCTCCATTTGATGCGTGACTTGGCGTGATTTGCGAGTCCAGCCAAGAGCAAGACCAAAGGGATCGGGCTTGAGGAAACGGCGCGATGCTTGAAGTATCCTCATAGTTTTGCAGGCGCCTTCCGAAATCGTTTTCCTCGCGATGTTTAAAGTTTTGGAGGTTTTTTTAATTGGAGGATGAGGTCTCTTCTCACAAAACCTCTTTACTTGGAAGTCGCATTAATTATATCACGCGTTTCGCCCTATTCGACTTTCCCGGTCAGCGCTACATCTCTGAATCAGCGGAAAAAAAAACTAAGCCTCTCATTTTTGCAGATATGCGGGAAAGCTTAGTTGCTTCATGTTCTTGACCGGCTTTGTGAAAAGAGACCTCATCTTCCAGACAAAAAAACCTCCAAAACTTTAAACATCGCGCGGAAAGCGCCTGCAAAACTATGAGGATACTTCAAGCATCGCGCCGTTTCCCCAAGCCCGAGTCCTTTGGTCTCGCTCTTGGCTTGACTCGCAAATCACGCTAAGTTCTGAGATGCGTACGCGATTCGAATATGCGGAGGGCAGCGTGGGTCCACAACTTCCGAGGGTGAGCGCACAAATTGAGCGCATTTCAATCAAACCGTAATAAATTCAATATCATCCATTACTCAAGGTCGTGGCCTACGCAATTTGTCCACTACCCACGCACCAACCGTTTTTTCATTCCTTATTTATAACCAAACCTTGATATTATAAAGCTAAAAATTTAAAGAGCCGGACTTGACATCAGAATGATTTGGGACTGATCATAAGCACAGGATTCAGGAGTCAATATTTTGGATCAATGGGGAGTGAGGGAATCGGGCGATCCCCGTCTATTGTTGTTCTTGTAAGAGGGGAATTCAACATTTCTTTAACCAATATAAGGGTGCCTCCTTCCAAGGCCTCAGTATCTCTCAGATAAAACGCCAAAAAACCATAAAAAAATACAACAAAAGCGTTTATACCTTAGAGCTGAGTTATTTCAGTTATTTCGGTCGGCCTCCTATGGTGTAGTGGTTGTAGCGCTTGCTCTCTGATCGGGAGGTCCCGGGTTCGATTCCCGGCCAGGCAATCCGAGTTTAATGGTCTCAAACAATGGTTGCCTGGGACTGGTTCAGTAGGGACGGAGGGGGGATGGGACTTAAAGCGTGGGATTAGCCCTTGAGGGCGATTTAAAGTAGTAAAAAAAAAAAAAAAAAAAAAAAAAAAAAAAAAAAAAAAAAAAAATTCGTTGAAATTCTAGTTAAGAAACTTGTTTTAGAATGCTTAAATTCGTACCTTGCCCAATGGACCATTAATTCTGAATAGATTACACATGTTATGTAGTGCTTTAATTCATATCTTGTCCAGAAGTATCTTCTTCAATCGAGATCCTTGCACTTCTTCCTGCTTTTCATTCTTCCTATTCTGCCGTCTCCTCTTCTCTGTCCTCCGATCTCTTGTGCGACTTCATCTCCCATTCGTCAGAGTCCATCACGCACCTATCCCCGCAACACTTTTACTTTTTTTCGGGCGATCGATCAATCCTTTTGAAAGCCAACCGTTCCGAGCTCCTTGTTGAGTTCGAAATACCTGAGCAGAGATGGAAAGTGAAATTTTAAAACGCTCGAATAAAGATCGCAAAATTTGAAATTCATAATTTAGTTTGAATTATTCATATTAAACCCTTGGAAGTCCGGGAGCGTTCAAGATGATCTTTCTGCTGATGCGGCAAGGAATACTACCCTTGTGAGGTGCTTTACACGAAAGAGGGGCACAAAGGGAAGTTTAGAGAGAAATTCAGCCCAACCTACCCTCCAATACAAATGAAAACATCTGAGCCGCGTAAAAGTTATAGGCCTTGGGAGACCATTTAATGGGTCCTTCGCTAGATAATGTTTTATACTTCCGTTGCTGGAACTCAACGGGACTTGTCCTCTGAGTTCTTTGCAAGGTAGCTCCAGTAGCATTGCATCACGAATGATTGGACTGCATTTTGCGATAAGGAGCCACAATTTTCAGCTCATTTCTAAAAGCACCTATCGTCAAGGGGAGAATCAAAGTGGGGAAGGTGGAGAAAAAATGACAGCGAGAAGAAGAAAAATAGGAAAGCAGACTAAGTGAAAAATATGAAGCTGTAGAAAGAGAGAAAAAAGAAAAAGAAGCTGAGAAGAAAATGAAGAAGCAAAATGAGAATAGGGAGAGAAAGAAAAAAAGATAGGAGGAAAAAGAAGAGGAAGAGAACGTAGATGAGAAAGCAAAATAGAAAGCAAAATAAGAAAATAATAAGAGAGAGGAAAGGGGAAAAAGAAGAAGAGAAAAAGGAGAAGGAAAAGAAGAAGAAGAAGAAAGAAGCAGTAGGAGATAATAGAGAAAAAAGAGAACACAAGGAAAGGAGGAAACATCTGCCTGTCTAAGAACATTAAGAGCACATTACGCTGTTCTTAAAATGAGCTGGAAAAAGGAGTTCCATAATGCAAAATGCAGTCCAATTTGTCTTGCTCAACTGCTCAAGGAGCTAGAGTGTCAATGCATCCCGAATAATTTGACCGCATTTTGCGAAGAGGAGCTACAATTTCTGACTCATACATAAAAAACCTATCTGCATTGAGGAACTGATAGCGCATACGTCGTTTCTAAAGTAAACCCGAAGTTGTAGTTTTTAATTTCAAAATGTAATCCACTTACGATGCGTAAGTATGTTTCGAAATTGAGCTGTTAGAAGAGCGGGTGATGGGGGGGGGGAGGATTTCAAAATCGAGTACCTATCAATGTTCTAAGGCGTGTCTAGGCCTTCTAATTACATCTCCTTAAATTTCAAGCATTGCATGAAATTAACAATCTCTGTACCTGAGGAGTGTTTTCTTGCAAAAGCCGAGCGTAACGTCCGTAACCTCCGTGACCTCCGTGACCTTCGTTGCGTTGGGCTCAAAGAGAGGATGGCAGTGACACCTGAACCAGCGACAGACTCCCGGCCCGACGTGGTCACAGGGCACCAGCTCCTTGTAGGTATCGGACAAGAACTTCTGATCCTGGCAGATCCTCTGCACGGAGATCCGGGCTACTTTCCTACATTGATCCGTGCAGAAGGCGTCTTTCTTCGCACCGAAGCAGAACGCAGTGAGGGACTCGGCCTCTTTCTGGAACCAATCACGATAGAGCTTTTAGAGTTTCAGAAAACATGTGTCATGAAGCTTAACCCTATCCCCCAAGTCTGCCAAACTAGTTTTTTCCACTTATTTGCCAATAATGGGTCAGTTTAGGCCCGTATTTGAAATACACAGGATCTTCTTTTTTATTAGTTTTTTTTTTTTGCATGCACGTGTTTTAAATGATGTTTAACATCAGGGAAAGTTAAGATTAGACTTGTAGGCCTGATATTTTTTCCTTCCAAAGTTTAGATGTGCAACCATTCAAACCATCTCTGTTATTAAGGTTATGCATAGTTTCTATTTTTGTAATATTTTAACTGACCAGCGCAAGCAATTTGTATTTATCTCTTACTTGTTATTTTTGCGTCTATGGTGTGATCATGATAAAATATAACCTTAAAACTTTTTTTTTTTTTTTGGGCGGAAGAACGTTCGTTTATTTACATTCTCGGCCATTTTGGTTTGATGTTGGAATCTGAAGATTGGTATGGACATTTTTTGTCTTAGAGGGTTGGATACCTTCTAGAGCTCTGAGAGCTCTATATTTCGACAAGTCCCTACTCTTCTTACATAGGTACTTTGGTGTTTCATCCAAAATATATTATGTGCGTTTGAATATTTGAAATTGCAAAATTTGTCGTAGATCTGAAAGTTATTTCACCTGTAGTTTTGAATTATATTTTAAATTGGAATCCGAAGTAGGTCCTCTATCGACCAAAAACCCATAGTCGTCTGATTCTGACTGTTGTAATAGGGATCCATGTGCCTTAAAAAAGAGAAAAATTATTGAAAAATATTTCAGACCGCCCACTGGTTGACGGAGCTCTAGCGTTTTTGGTATCGCAAAACTGTGAATTAAAAGATTTACAGTACACTAAAAACTTTGCAATGCCCTATAACTTTAGTTCAGGACTCAATGGCAGTTTTGCAGCATCCACATTACTGCAGGTAGAAAATACAATTTTTTCAGTCAAAAATAAACCAATGATTCTTCAGAATACAGAAAAACTCGTTAATCACCTTAAAACTAAAAATTAGTCCAATGTGATTGAAAATATGACGTATAAAGTGTGGGAAAAATTCCAACGTAGTCAAACCGGAATTCCTGTTTCGCTGTAACCTTTCCTTTCATTATGATCTGTGTTATACGAGTTAAAAAGATGTCTTACTTTCACCTTAAAAACTCCCGAAAATCTCGTGGTTTTATTGAGGGCTGTGGCATTAAAGAAGGGCATTCATTTTCTTATGACTTCGAATCTTCGCACTCTAAGCATGACGAAATAGAATTTAAAACCAATCTTCCTCGAAATTATGTCTCTGAATTGCAGACTTCAGATCAAGCCAAGGCACCATTGTCAGCAGTAGAAAACGCCCTCAGTTTTGTGCGATACTCCACTCTTCTCACCAGATTTAAAATCTTGTTAAATGCTCATGGAACACACCTACCGGCTTTGATATTAATAATTTAATGAAAAACAACGGTCACACGTCGATGCAAGTTAAAATAAAAACAAATTGATGAAAGAATTACTGATTCAAAGAAGAACTGCGCTTTTGATATGCTCCTCTGTAATAGAGAACAATTATTGAACGAGATTACTTGGTCAAAAGCTTATGTTTCTCGTTCATCTGTAAAAGTATCTACCGGTATGAAGAAATATATGGCACGTGCATTGTTTCCAAAGGAAGGGGGAAAAGTTAAATTTCTGTCATTAGTGCGCTTACCTCAGAAACAAAAAATGCAATAAATACAACGCTAAATGAAGTCATGATGAAAATGAAAAATGTGAAGAGAGAATATGGGTTATGACTCATGTTGAATTTAGTACCGCGCAACGGCCCCTCTAAGCGCACACGTTATTGACATTATCACTAAATGAGTATGTCGGTGCATATAGGCATACTGAGCGCAACAGAAAGGTAATCAAATTGTTGATAAAGAATAAAGGATCAAGTAAACTCGGTGGGGGAGGGGGGGGGGCAAGAAAAAACGAACGATCTGATAACGGGAGCCGAGACTAAACATTCCATCAGCGCAGTGTATAAATGTCATTGATCAAACCTCGTTGGACTAACAAATTAAATTATTTTTGAATACAGGATGCTTACTAATCGAGAACCCAGTAGTTTTCTTTTTGGTGTGTGCAATCTTGTTGACTGAAATTCTTGACGGATAATCACGCCAAGATCCATTTTATGATGACACCCCGCGACTTGTCTTGACTCAAGTCAAATTTCCGCGAATTCGTTAAGTTTTTTAGTAACTGCCAACCTACGCTGCAACAAAACGAAATTCCCTACGTGCGATAGTGTGCCTGCGACATTTGGACGTATTTCTACCAAACAGACCTATGTGCAAGTGAGAAATATGGGGTGTGCTCGTTAGTTCTCTTTGCGTAAGAGTGAATGAAAATAATAAAGCGCCAGTGACGTCAGCGGCAACAAACGAGACCGGGAGCGATCTCCCGCGGGGTGTCATTAACTCATGAGCCCTGTCCACAAGGCTCTCTTGCTATGCCCGCGGCTCATGAATTCCGCATTCAGTTGCACATAGGTCTGTTTGATAGAATGCAATATCCCGCTTTTCCAATTCTTCAAAAGGAATCACGCACACTTTTACGTTGCTTCTTATGCAGCTTTCACGAGCACACCCAAAATTTCTCACCTCCACATAGGTATGTTTGGTAGAAATACGTCCATTTGGCTTTCATGGTGGCAGCATTGACTACCACCTCCGAAATGTTCGACTCTCCATCCTCGGCAAGTCAAGACGTGGGTGGATGCAAACGTTGGCTAGAATACTTCAAGCAACTGAGTTTCGTTCTTGATTTCAGCAGATCGTTTTTCTCCTTTGGGTCGCACCCCTGCCGCTCTGGTCCAAAATGTCGATCAAATTCCATAGAGTGAAAGAGAGTCGCAATGCACTAGAGCGCCGATGAAATCAGTTTTTGAGGCTTTTTTGCCCAGTACTCCTGAGACTAGTGTGCGGCGACTGGCGATGCCACTGAGCCTGATCGCGTGGAGACCAGAACGCCTTCAATTCTGTTGCATGCAACACGCATATCCAATAAGCCCGAATAACCGCATCACTGCAGGCGTTATAAACAATGCGAGGTCAGGTGCCACGTTAGTCCGCATTAAAACGCTATACATCGATGGCTGAAGTAAAAAAATGCGTCTCTTAGATTGGGCTGCACTCTTGGGCCTTTAGAGCTTCATGACCTAACTTCAAACTTACCGACATGTCCGTACTCTCCTTATATACTGCCGTGCTAAGGAACGCCGTATGAACATTCGAGAGTTGCCAAATTTCCCTCGATGAAACGTGTATTTTTGACGCAATTTAAGCATATTTTTCCTTGAAATTTTCAGATATTTTAGATTAAATTCTGTACAAAATTGTCTGAAAATTGTGGGAGAAAATATTTATGATGGAGATGTTGCATGTGTGAGGCATTTGCGATATGACTGTTGATTCTTATGTAAAAGTTCGCGAGAAACACGATAGCGCCACTGGCTTTTTCTGAAATCAACTCCAAAGCTCCAAAAAAGCTCTCGCAAGTTGAGGCCAAAATGGAGGGAATATCCCACACTATCCTGAGAGTCCACCTCGACAAACTCTCCATGCAAAGATAGGGAGCAAATACTTTAACAGGGCTGCCACTTTATTTGGGGACTCCAAAACTGAAAACGCGGCATCACTGCTAATATATTTGAACCCTATCTTTGCCTGGAGAGTTCGTCTTGATGTAGACGTGGGCTCTCAGGATAGAATGGGATATCCTCTCCATTTTGGCCTCAACTTGAGTGCTTTTCTTGAGCTTGGGAGTTGATTTCAGAGAAAATCCAGTAGCACCATAGTGTTTCTCGCGAACTTACACATAAAGGATCAACAGTCAAATCGCAAATTCCTCGCACATGCAACATCTCCATTTGCCTAGTAAATTCGGTTTTTATCGAAGGAAATTCGGCAACGTCAGAAAGCTCTTACGGCGTTCTTCCTTAGCACGGCAGTATAGGTGCTCTAGCTCGTGGTACCCCTGTCGTTGATTTTTCTCGAAATCCGCGGAGAGCATCCCGCCTGGGAACCACTCTTCCACTTGGTGGCCGCCTCGCCTCGCGTCACCGCGCCGCACAGTGGATCGAGTCAATGGAAGAGGTCAGACATAATTTTTTTGACTAAAACTGCCAATTTAGATGTTTATTTCCTGATATTTTAAAGTTTGAGGAGAACTCCCGAAGGTAAATTTTACGAGAAAGCCAATGGGACCACTTTTAAGACCTCCACGTTTTGTAGTAATGGAGTTCTGAGCTTTGAAAGTTTCCGGATTTTGTCCGATTTCTCCTATCGACTCGGACCGCTGTGCGCCGCGTCGGTAGCCGCGACGAATTGCGCAGGCAAGTGAGCTAATTTCATTTGCATAATTTAATTACAATTAGCATACGTGTTGTTATATTTTCATCTTCATCCCAGGAGGAGGAGACGGCGGGGCGCGGGAGAGCTAGAGCCGCCTCTGTGAGAATGAGAAAGAATGGTGAAAGATGGCAGAGACAAACTGCGATTCCTTCATGGCGTGCCGGGTGGCGCCTCCGGTGCCATGGACGTCTGCATTCGTCGCTCCTATGACGTAAACTCGTATCCCGATCTCCTCATGAGCCCCAGGTAAGATGGATGTATATGTAAAGTAGGGCTCATAAGGAAATTGAGATACGCCTACATGTCGGAAGGACGACGTAATGTAGACTCGTGAAGTTCACGATGCTGAGAGAAAGGGACTTAGTATAACGGGAAAGAACAAAGTTACATTTCCAAGGAGAATGAGTTATGAGCGATTCTAAGCTCAGAAAGTGCATTATATTCTTTCTTTCGAAAGATTTTAGAGAATTTAGAGAGAAAATTAGAAAAAATTATTTAGAATTAATAGAGGGAAAATTTTAGAAATTTGTAATCTAATCAGACACATTTTGAGGCTTCCGTGAAGCAGATTTTCCATCAATGTCTGCAGAAAAATTACGTTTCCTTTTTGATCTTTCAGCAAAAAATGCATGCATATATGGGGGGCATATACATATATGCATACATAGAAAGGGACTTAGTATGAAGGGAAAGAACGGAGTTACATTTTCAAGGAGAATGAATTATGAGCGATTCTAAGCTCAGAAAGTTCATTATATTCTTCCTGTCAAAAGATCGAAGTATACGTACAACTGGACCGAGCTTATGGTGATTCGATGGACGCCATATTTTGTGTCAAAACGACATGTGATACATTGCATCGATTGGTTCCATTTTTTCAGCTGCTCGTCATTTTTCTCAAATTCTGTTGTCAGGAAACTAAAACAAGCGGGAAAGTTCTAATACTGTCGTATTAGAAAAGCGCTCAGGTGTTAGTAAATGTATTTAGTGAAGAAAGGACGTATAAACTTCGTCGACTTGGCTGGGAAATGGAAATAAAACATCAGCTGATAGCAAACAAAGGTTACCAAGGAAACCGTAAGCGCGTATTTTTGTTTCCCGAAAATGAGCTCACCGTTGAGCTCATCAGGCGCGTTTTTTTTAGGCTTCATTTGAGTTTAACGATCAATTTCGAAAAGAATTACTCTACCGCTAAGAAACTTTCTTATAGACAAACGATCGAAACTACCTGCGCATTACGTTAAAAGCATAAAATACAGTTTTCACAGCTTTATTTATTTTAAAAATGGACCCCCCCCCCCAAAAAAAAAGCCCACACATCGATGAGGTGGTGCGCCATTTAAACGCATTAGCACTAGTATACTAGTACTCAGAGGCAAGTCGAAATCAAAAAGCGCTGCCTATCGGCTGAGCGCTTAAAATTCACTTATCCGTTTTGACAAACAAATTCAACGTAATATAGGCGTCGTTTTTTTAGAGAGAAAATATCGCATTTGAGTGCTGTCATGATATCGGTATCGAATGCGATATTTCTCCTTTGAAAAAAACCATGCCTTTAACAGGTTAAGTTTGTCAAGATTGGTAAGTGAATTCTTTATTCTCCTAACAACAGAATTGCGATCTCAAAATTTGTAAAAAATGACAAGTAGCTAAAAAAATGGAACTAATCGATGCGATACATCGCATGTCGTTATGACACAAAATGTTGCGTCCATCGAATAACCTTAATATAAACGTATCACGTGGCATTTTGAGGGGAAAAATTTATTGAGACACTTTTTAATTCAACCAGTGGTTAATTATCTCCTCACAACAATTCAAAGTCGAGGAGAAATATTTTGCGCAAGAATATAGTCACTGAAGATTACAGGCTGAGATTTTCGGTGGCTCTAGGAGGACAAAACGAGACTTAAACTACGAATTTAACCGTCCAAACTGCAGTAGCGGCACAGGAAAACCGAGAAACCAAGCGGTGACGCTACTTCAATGTAAAGCTTCCATCGTCTTTCTAAGGCGCAGGGATACAACTATTTGAACTCTCCGGAACGCGTGAGGTATCACGCCTCAATTGAAGGCGTTTTCGAATCTTCTGTGTTACATGACAAGATTTTCCAAATTGTTTTGCATCATATTGTTGAGTTTAGTTCCTTTTATTATTTAATTAAATTTCTCCCGCCTCTTTAATTTTAATTATTCTCCATGGATTATCCATTGGCAAAATAAAATCCTGGCTTTAGCGCCCTCAAACTACGACCTTAACAGTCGAAACTGCAGTAGCGGCAGAGGAAAACCGAGAAACCAAGCGGTGACCCTACTTCAATGTAAAGCTTCCATCTTTCCTCTTGCACTTAGTTCCATTTGGACGTATTTCTGCCGAACGGAACTAATCGCCAATTTGAGTTCCTTTTGAGGAATTTAGAATGCCGGATAGCGCGTTCTGTCAGACGGAACTAAGCGCCATGGAAAAGCATTGCGAGTGTATGAACGAATGAGCCCGACGCCCGGTTCCGCCGCCAATGCAAGCCCTCATCAACCTACCTCCCCCGATGGCGCTTAGTTCCATTGGACAGAAATACATCCATTTGTAAGTATTTTTACTCCAGTTTTTCAGATAAGTTACTCGTTAGGAATTCCATCTAAATTTCCTGAAAATTTCAAGAAAAAATATCCTTAGCTTTCTTTGAAAATAAACATTTTGTAGGAGGAAATTTGGCAACTCACGGACGTTCATACGGCGTTTTTACTTAGGGTGGCAGAGCAGAGGTAGGGCGACGGGGCAAGAGTAGTTACCCAGATATCATCGACGATGTAATTGAGACCTCACGCTCCACTCGTGGCACACGTCCAGACGCAGCGCTCGCAGCGCTCATCATAACGTGCGGAAGTTCATTGCAACTCCCCCTCCCGCTCGTCTCCTGGAGCAGATCGTTTTCGATAGTGGTTCGATGTATCGTTTGGTTCAAAACAATAGAACATAACCTCAAATAAAACTCTCAGGATTTCAGTCGGAAAAGCTGAAAATGAGAAAATTCCTAACTATTTCACCTTACGATGCCATTTAGTGCTCATAAGAATCAAAAATCTATCAGAAAAACCCCGTTTTCTCAGATTGCTCGATTGACTTTTGAGGCTATGTTTACATGTTGAACCAATCGATATCGATACAATCTCACCTATTTGATGTATCGAAAACGATCTACTGAGTGTCCGAGTCTCACTTCCACCTTTCCCGCGGGAGTTTTAACAAGCTGCAGTATAAAAATTAAGTGAAGATCTACCGTGCTAAGGAAAAACGCCGAATAATTGTTTAGACGTTGCCTACTTCCCATTTCCGAATCACGGATTTCCGGGAAAAGTTTTCAATATTTCTCGTCCAATTCTTCAAGGTATTTCGTTTGTGGTTTGATCTAAAGTGTCTGAAAAATTAAAATGAAAATGTTAATAACTTTCTTTAAAAAAAGGTTTTTGTCTGAGAGGAAATTTGGCAATATTTAAATGTTTGTACAGCGTTTTTCCTTAGCACGCCGGAGATCCGGGTAGGTCTGATCCACGCACCTCCGTTGGAACAGTAAAATGCACTGGTTGAAATACAGGCTGCTATTCCTTCACGCGTTTTGCGAGACACGATGAAGGGTAAGTATGCAGTTTGATAAATAAAAGCGCAGTATGAATTTTGGAATTTTGTCGAATGTCCTTTCATAAATCATGAATTTTTTTGGAAAAGTCAATTTATAAGATTTTTTCCATGGGGGAGGGGATTTCATTAACAATTTGGATCGAGTTTAAGACCAAATCGTTTTGGCAAGCGAAAGAGAGGGGGTCTAGTTAGTTGCGCGAAATGAAGCTAAACATCACAATATAATCGAATCAAATATCGATTGTGAAACTGCAGGAATTGGTTTGTGGTGTTGCAGACTTCCTGTCATATTTAATTTTCTACGGGAGTCAATAAACGCCAACAAATCAAACTACTGTACACTTCGTTTATTTCTTTAACACTTCGGTGATTATACCTTCTCTATGTGAAGAATATTCTACGAGAATTTCATGCCACGGTGTTTGTTAGGTATCCCAAACTTCTCATGTCGCCGGTCAATTTTTTTCACCGACCGACGATCAGGAACATCAGGTTTGCCCAAAAAGAGTGACGCAAAAAAACCTAACATAAATGGACCAACTAGCTCGCGACCTGTTACAAACCTCGTAAAGTGCACGAGGTGAGATACACTTGGTTTTTTAACCTTAATTGATTCAGCTCTTTTTGCATTCAGGAAAGCGTAGTGATGTTACTAAAAATGTCCATAAAAATAATTTACTGTGCAGAAAATTTGATATTCTTTACCTAAAATAAACAAACAAATCTCCTCAATCCATTCAAATTCAAATTTTAAAACGAAACGGGGGAAAAAGTATACAATGTGAAGAGTGAAGACTCCTCGTGAAAAAAAAGCTTTTTCTACTGAACTCGGTCTGTTCATTTGGTGCATATCAAAATGCCGAGGGGACATTTTAATGATATCTCAAAGATGCATTTTTTGAAGGTAGCAATATGGTGGTGGCGTGGCGTGCATTGCGGCACATCGATTGATCTGCCATTATAACCTGCGGAAAAGGATCGATAAACAGGGTGGTTGCATCGATCACCTTAATAATCGATTCTTCACCTTAGCTTCAAATGGGGAAATATCGATGATCGATCATTCACACCTCGCCATTGAAATACGGCAACGTGCGAATACTCACACTGCATTTTTCCTTAGGACGGCTGAATGGTGGTGGAGAGCGGTGGCGAGACGTGAATGGTCGAGTATCGATATTTCCTCATTTGAAACTATGTAAAAGAATCGATTAGTAAGGTGTTCGTTGTGAACACCCTGTTTATCGATCCTTTTTCATAGGTTTCAATGGTAGATTAATCGATACATCACAAAGCACGACACGCCACCGGTAGAGAGGAGCGGGAATGGAACGTATGAAAAATGTGAGTGTCCTCTTTTGGATGTGCGCGCATTTCTTAAGTTAACATCATACTCAACAGTTTATTTAAGAATGGCGAAGACACCGTGTAGATCCCATAGCTCTTACGACCTTCTTGAAATATGTGAATCAATTACGACTTTTAACTGTTCGTATTATGAAACTGCGGCAGTGGTGTCGCGCAGGAAACGACCCGATCAGTCAGTTTTATGATTTAGATCTGGTGGAAATGTACGTGGATAGAGAAAAAAAAAAAAACATTTGAATGTCAGGCGAGGACAGTGAAGAAACTTCTCGTGCTGTAATAACAATAAAGATGAAAATAAACGTCCCTTGCTCGAGGATGACTTGAAATCACACAAGCCGAGGCCGAGAGGACAGTTGCAGAGTGTGAACTGAAACTTTCGTTGCAGATAAAACACAGTCTTTCGCCCCCCCCCCTCATATCTTTTGAAGGAGTGATGAAAGATAATTTTAGAAAGTTTCCGCCTCTCAAGTAGCACAGATTGCAACAAAGTGCAATTACATAATAAAATTATTGTTACTGCTTCGAAGTGTTGTGTAGTTGCCTATACACTGTTTGACGGAACACATCCTATTGAAATTAATTGCAATACACTGGAAAAAATGCTCTTGATTCAATCAGAATTTTTGCTTGAATCAAAAGGAAATCCGCCTATATCAAGACGCTCGGCTCTTCGATTCAAGAAAAAGTCGGATTGAATCAAGAGTATTTTTTCTTGTCAATGTTATTAAGAGTCTGGACTCTAGACCCAAGCGACTTTTTTTCCAGTGTAAAATTGAAAGAAGTTCCAATGGATCATTGCACTGCAAAATGCATATCTTTCTGACACACGGGGATCGGCAAATAATATCGACCTTCTATATTTTTTTCAGTTGTTGAGTTAAAATGATCTGGTTCGGACTGTTGTCCGAATCATTGAAAGGAAAAATTTTTGGGGAGTCATGACCCCTTGACCTCCTCAGGGGGACCAGAGAGGAAAGCACAACCCCAATAAATATCAACAATTTCAAACAGGGACCCCTTACTTTGGAACAGCAAGTTATGATGTTACGAGCGATTCTTTAGCCCATCCCGGTATGGTGCTCAATTTGGTAATCGTTTGAAATCGGCACTTATTGACCAAATGATGTTAAAATATTGCAATTACATCAGGGAAAAAATTGCATTATAATTGCAATAAACGAAATTCTATTTCAATATTTTCATATATCAGTGATATTTGGGCTGCTATTCCTGACTATGATGACCTGATTCTGGGGGCGCGGAATAAATCAATGCTGCACCTGAGAACCTAGTATGGGTATTAGAGGTGTAAGGATGTAAAGAAACATCCACGGTAATGGCAAACTCTTTTTGTCGATGACAAGAAATTTTATTTTTTATGTAAAAAAGATATTAAACGGTTGTTGTATAGAAAATACATTTTCTTCTTTCAAGCAATAAGTTATTTTAACTAATTCATTTAGTGCCTTTTAATACAGCGGCGAGTGTTTTTGCTCGTTTCTATCTAGAATGATTGACCCCCCTTATTTTGGAGGGGGTCTTGGATCCCTCTCACCCAGCGTAAGTCCTCCACTCTAGAAACAAAATCCTGGCTACAAGCCTGCCAAGAACAGCCACATTCTTTTCCTAATGACATTGTAGCGGGGGTATTGAGGTGTCTAGATTTTATGGCAATTTTGAATTCTTGATTCAGACAGCGGCGTTCACACTGCACAGCTTACAATCCCAATCGCCACTCTGGGATACCACTGAAACAAAAAGGCACAACAAAAAATGTAGTCATCACTCCTGAATGAATGTGATTCGATTCGAAAAAGGGACCTGTCGTTGAAATTTTGAAAATCGAAGTCAGCGCACAGTAATTTATGGTTTGATCTTTGATGCCAAAAAAGGAATTTTTTGGGGGGATGATTTTCTTTTCCAAATTCGCCTTCCTCTGAGTAAAGACTCCTTCTAAATGATCACATGCATTATTTCCAGTTCTAGCCACAATAGATCTCTTGCATGTGTTAGATATTTGCGATTCAAGCACTGATACCCTACGTGAAATTTTGCAAGAAACACGATGGTGCCACCGGTTTTCTGTGAAGTCAGTTCCAAAGCTCAAAAAGAGATCTCAAAGTTGAGGTGGTAATCGAGGGGATATCCCATGCGACTCTGAGGTTCCCTTTCCATATCAAGACCAATTCTATAAGCAAATATAGGGAGGAAATACATTAACAGGTCTGCCACTTTGTTTGGGGACTCCAAAACTGAAAACACGGCGACCCTGCTTCTGGAGTGTTCGTTAGTTGAATGAGTTATAAGAATGAATGGGATTTATTGAAAAATGGCGGGAATTTAAAATTTAGCGGAAAATTGAGCTAAGCAGGAAATGTTGAATCTTGGTCCGTTAGAAGGGTGTCGAGGTAAGTGAATCAAAGGTATGCTCTTCTGCTTCAGACTATCCAAAAGCGACGGAACGCTCCGATCCATTTGTTCCATTTGGTTCCAGTCTTGGCGTAAAGTTTAAAATAAATGCCGATTTCTTTATTGAATTTTTATTGGTCCAATTGATTCGGGTCGGCGGGAGATTAGACAAATGAGAGTCGGGTATGATAATCATATCATTTTTTTGGGTCGTTCTTTTTTTGAAGCGGGCCTAAGAGAGCGCGGAGCGCCTTCTGGGGGTTGAGCCGCGAAGCGGCCAGGAGCCATAGCCCCCTAGTACCATCTGTTGATAAATGAAGTGAAAAGATTGAATAATTGTCGTGTGTATGAAGGACTTTCCTAACTTCTCTCGGAAAAAATATTTAATCGGGAGAAACGAGGCAACGTTGGAATTCCCTGCGGCCTCTAAACGCAACATAGGTTTTTGAAGCCCTATTATTCGATGCCGCGATTACTCTAACGCGAGTTCGAATAATCGCGCCAAACACAGTGCGGCCAGCATTAAACGTATACTAGCGCCTGCAAGACTTTAGGAATATTTCACGCATTGCGCTAAACAGTGCGGTCGGCGTTAAGCCCATATCAGCGCCTACAAGACTGCATGAATACTTCTCGCATTGCGCTAAACAGTCGGTCAGTTGGCGTGAGACACGCACTAGCGCCTACAGGACTGTAGGAATGTTGTAGGACTGCTTATCATCATTTTTGACTTTCAGCTCCAGTTTTTATCATAATTAAAGGGAAAATGTAAATCCTCATGGTAACGATAATTAGGAAGTATAAGGTACTAAGCATATATTGACGTGTTTTGATCTGTTAATTTATTATCAATTGTTACCACTGAAATCTGTTATCTTGTCTGAATTTACATAAATTATGGCCTTTGTGATTTATAGTTTGTGGCCCTGACGATGAAGCGCCATTGCTTCGAAAAGCTTCGCTCAAAGTTTATTAATAAAATGTGAGTGTTCTTTTTTCTTTTTTTTTTTTTTCTTTTTTTTTTTTTAAGAAAACGTTACATTATTTCTAGCACTTGGCTACACTCCATACCAATATATTCAGTCCTACTACCTTTAAGACGTTGTGTAATACAATGTTCGCTGAACTTGAACACAGTTGTTCCACGATTTTTACGTTTAGTTTTTTTCAAAGGATGGCGGCCGCGTAGCTGCAGCGGCCGCAGGCCCCTAGTATTGATATGAAACCCCATTCTCCCTTCAAAAGTTAGAAACCTAATATCATACTTAAAATCAGTGCTGCCATATCCCGGGATTAATTCCAAAATTCGGAACTTTTCCTGGAATCGTCTGAATCCCGAGAATTTCAAGCTATTTTTGTAATTTCCTCGAAATGTGCGGTTTTTCGCCAGCTTGACTATTCGTTTGCTCAAATTAAGGGACTTTTTGATCGAATTTGACGATCTTCGAAGCTAAGTCCGGGCGTCTTTCAGAATTATTCCCCGGAATTTTTTAAAAAATCGGAATTTTCTCGGAACTTTTGCAAATCGGTATATGTTTCCAAATTATATCGGAATCTAATGATAAAATAAAATGGCAGCACTTATTGAAATAGGCTCAGATGATACTTACAGATGTTTGACCTGATCGATATCCTTGACGGTGGGTTTCTCAACTTCTTCGTCGGATTCCGAGTTTTGGAGTCTTTTCTCCCAAACTTTGGTCGGCTGAAGGAGGCGTCGGGGGTCCCGGTGGACGTTGATGTCTTTGGCGACGGACGCGGCGAGTGCCCGCTCTCTCTCGAGCCTCTGCTCCTCCTCCAGGATGAAATGCAGTCGTTGCATCTTCTTCCTCTCTATCCATTTCGTGTCCTCCTGCCTGAAACCAATACGATTCGTCGCTCGCCTTGGAATTGTTCGCTACTCTAAAGATCAATGGAGATGTTGCATGTGTGAGGAATTTACAATTTAACTGTTAATTATTATGTAAAAGTTCGCGAAAAACACGATGGTGCCACTGGTTCTCTCTGAAATCAACTCCCAAGCTCAAAAAAAGCTCTCAAGTTGAGGCCAAAATGGAGGGGATATCCCACGCTATCCTGAGAGTCGACGTCTACATCAAGACAAACTCTCCATGCAAAGATAGGGAGCAAATACATTGACAGGGCTGCCACTTTATTTGGGGACTCCAAAACTGAAAACACGGCAACCCTGCTAATGTATTTGCTCCCTATCTTTGCATGGAGAATTTGTCTTGATGTAGGGGTAGACTCTCAGGATAGCGTGGGATATCCCCTCCATTTTGGCCTTAACTTGAGAGCTTTTTTTGAGCTTAGGAGTTGATTTCAGAGAGAACCAGTGGCACCATCGTGTTTCTCGCGAACTTATACATAAGAATCAACAGTTAAATCGCAAATTCCTCACACATGCAACATCTCCATTCACTACTCTGAAGATCTATGGTTCACCTGTTTAATCGAAGCAAAAATACCGCGATCCATAGCATACTTCAAATGGTCCGTTTCTGTTGAGATACTTCTGGACGATAGGACATCTCAAATGAGCAGTTTTCAAAAATCCGGGCTCATTTCAAGCGCATCTCATTTAACTTTTGGGTAATCGTTAATGAAGAAACAGTTTTTACGCGCGTTCAAAGTTTTAAACGTCGATTAATAGATTACTCGATTGTGAGGTTATGAAAAATCGAAAAAGAACTCAACTGATTTAAGACGTATTAAATTTTGCACTTGCGGCATTGCCATTTTTCAACTCGCCTCCGGTCGATTAAATTTAATGGATAAACTATTCGGGGGAACATTGAATCGCTTCCTTACCCGGCACCCGAGGGCCGGACTACCGTGCTAAGGAAGAACGCCGTATGAACATTCGAGAGTTGCAAATTTTCCCCTGATAAATTATGTATTTTTGACGACATTCATGCACATTTTTCTTTGAGATTTTCAGATATTTTAGATTAAATTGCGTACAAAATTGTCTAAAAATTTCGGTAAAAAATATTCATAATTTTCCCAGTCAATTCGGTTTTTTATTGAAAGAAACTTGGCAACGCCTGAAGGCTCTTATGACGTTTTTCCTTAGCACGCCAACAAAGATGTCAGCCTATTTGAAATTTTCGTCCATATACGTTTATTTGAAAGCGGCCTTAGCAAGTATGACCATTAACACTTCTGTGAACGAAGACAAATTAAACACAGGATTGAAAACTGTGGAGGAAAAAAGGAGAGTGACGAAGACGATGAAGGAAATGCGAGTATTCACCTGTATTGTTTGATGAGTGTATTCGCCATTTCCGCAGCTTTTTGAGCCTCCTGTACTGCTCTGTCCTGTTCAGCCACTGCAGCAGCATGCGCCTCTTCAAGTTTCCTGGCTTTGTATAATTTTACTTTCTCCCGCAGTTCCATCTATATCGAACAATTCAAAGAAGAACTACGCTTGAATCTTTAACTTGGCTGCTGAAAATACCACATGATCCGTGTTACTAGTTTAATTTAATTGTTTTCAATGTATTTTAAATTAATTTCATCTTATCACAAGGAATAGTGAGGAAACATTAGTGTCAAGCGACGACATAGACGGCCGATTTTGTCGAGATTCTGAATTTAATTTCATTTTTACAAAAACAATTGAACTGGAGCACGAAAATAATTTGGCCGTTCTTAATAATTTTTCTAAAATTATGGGGGGGGGGGTTATGATGTTATACGGCAAAATCAGCTTTGTATTCTCGACCCCGAACCTGACCTGTCACATGTCCTCTTTCCCAACTATCACCAACAAACGATCTTCTGAAAAAGTTCACCAATCACCGGATACCCTCTCTGAATTTCCTGAATACGATCTTCTTTCCCAGCTAGTCTTCCAGTTTCCCAGTTTTCCAGTTTCCCAGCTTTCCAGTTTTCCAGTTTCCCAGCTTTCCAGTTTTCCAGTTCTCCAGCCTTCTAGTCTTCCAGTCTACTTCCTGTCTATCTCCAGTCTTTCAGTCTTCCAGTCTTCTTTCCTAGATATCACTATCAACCGGTATCCTACTCTTAATAATATGCAAAACCATTAAGTAAAAACTAAACGGAAACGAACTGTCCCTTTCCTTTCTTTTTGGCATTTTATGCAAAGAATTACAATGCATACGTTCTTCACAAAACTCAACTCACCGTACCTGTTTTAATATCCTTGCTTCCTCTTCAGATCTCCTTTTTTCCTCCATCATCAACCTTCTTTCTCTGTCTGCCTCAAGCTCTGCTTGTTTAGCTTCCTGGGCAAGGAAAAGTTTATTAGAACACTGGTCTGCTCAAAAAAAGAAAAGGTTAACAATTTTTGGAATGAAAATTTTCTCATTCCATTCCATTTTATGTTTACTAAAAATACTTATGCAAGCATAAAAGTGTCCGTACTATTGCATTAAAAATATGTGCAAGGGGTGCAAGTTTACTTAACTGCCCAGCATTAAAATTTTAAGTAGAATATTACCAGATTTCGAGCAAAAACAAATTCAGAAATTTGTTTTCCAGATCTACTGTGTATAAAGGTACGTAAAAGTGAATTAAGTGAGTACATTTAAGAACTGTGTGTTTGGAATAGCCTTCGTAGCTCTTCTTGACTTATTTTATTTGAACGTCGTTCCTCTATAAAAATCAATCATTTTAATTTATGGATATTTTAACGACCACTGAATGCATAATAAAACCGTTTGCAACGCAATTTTGTCAAAATAAATCTGATTTACTTAAAAATTTACTCAACATGTTCGTCATCAGTCACCCACAAAAGTCAGTGTCCTACAAAAATAATTTTTCTCTCACGGTAAGAAATATTTCATCAACATATCGTCTCTAACCGCATTTCTCCAATGCACATAGTTCCGTTTGACATAATGTAAAATCCCGCTTTTCTAATTCAGCAAACGGAAGTGTGTGCCAACTGAATGCAAAACTCATGAGCCGTGGGCATATATCAAGAGCGTTGTGCACGGGGTTCAGGAGTTAAAATCGAAGAAGGGCAATTAAAGCGGCGGCTTCGACACTGGGGCTTTATATTTCCCATTTATTCCTATGGCCCGACCATTAACGAGCACACCCCATCTTTTCCACCCGCACGTAGTTCTGTTTGATAGAAATATACGTCCTAATTAATACTATCGGCGACATTTCTTATCTTGCTCTATACTATAACATCCTAAGAGTAACGAGTGACGGATAATGCCTGAGGCGCGAGGCGCTTCGGATGGTCGGAACGCGAAGCGATTAAGAGGCCTTGGCGCAATCCACTTTTTAAGCCAAAAAGGAGATTTTGTAAAATTTTGAAATGATACCTTCCAAGCTTGAATCTTTTCCTTGATCGCTGGGTCCCTTCTTTTCACCGGAGAAGGAGCAGGTGGGGGTTCGATGGCCGCTTGATGTAGATCAACTTTTTTCGACAAGTTTTGAGATTCCCGCCAATCGTTGATGGCCCTCTGCTGGGCAGCTTTGAGAGCGCAATATTCTTGGTACCAAGACTCATGCCGCGCAACCTCTGCTGCACTGATATCTATGAAAAGAGAGCTTTAGGAGTCCTGCCGTGCTAAGGAAATCGCCGTATGAGCCTTCAAACGTTGACAAGTTTCCTCCGATAAAAACTGAATTTACTGGGAAAATTAGGAATATTATTTTCCAACATTTTCAGACAATTTTGTACGCGATTTAATCAAGAATATCCGAACATTTCAAGGAAAAATATGGACGAATGTCGTCAAAAATACTTGTTTCATCAAGGGAAATCTGGCAACTCTCGAATGTTCATACGACGTTCTGCCTCAGCAGTCAGCACAGCAGAATTGAAGTGACGACCGTGTGAGCGTGAGAATCGGTAACCGTCACGCTTAACAGCGCCCTCAATGAGGAGGTTAGGCAATTGGTGAGTCATCACGTGTACGAATAGTTGCATTCAGAGCCTTATCGAATTGGCCCAAGAGCTTTCTTTCCTGCTCAGTGCTCTTCCCTTTAAAGGAATCGTTATGTATGAAATGTAGATTATAAGCATGCACAGTTATTATTTTTAGTCTGTAAAAAGTTTGCGAAAAATATAAATAAATCCTTAAAAAAACGAATCATTGCACTATTGTTAAAATATTTATGAAAGAATAAATTTCTCAGTGTGATGTATTTTTTTTTTTAACAAGGTTAAAATTATAAACATCAGCACGCAGATTCTTGAAATTATAGACGGAATGATAGAAAAAAATGCCGAGGCCAAGGCGCGAGTAATATGCCGAAAATGTTGTAAATTTAGCGAATATTCCACACTAACTGAGAGACTTTAACGCACTAGTAGAATTGTCGGAGGCTACATTCAGATTTAAATTTTGGTTGCAGGGAGTGAACTTCGGTTCATATCGGACACCGAACTTTTTCAATTCAGTGGCTAATTATTGAAGTTGATAGACAAAGCGATAGAGAAAGAAGACAAAAAGGAAAACGGGGCGATGCTTCTGATCGAAAAGGATAGTTTTCAATGACTGAAAGTGGGAAAATGATCGACTTACTATGAAGTCTATCGTGGATTGCCGTTTGTTAGTCCATTACTTACCTCCTTTTTCCATTGCAACCACCCGCCTCTACCAATAGGACCGCTGCATTTTCCCTTCATCTTATTTGTCCTTCGCTTTGTCCATCAAAAATAATCATCCTGCATAAGAGAAATGGAATTGTGGAATTGCAGTTTATAGCCAAACTTTATGTTTTATTTCCATGTCAGTTTGATCTAGGTTCATTTAGGTTTTAGAGGGAGTTTCAGTTGCAAAATTTTAATCCAAAAATGTTGATTTCTTGCTCAAAATCAACATTGGAAAATCTCAAGATTTTCAACCTGAATTAAATGAATTTTTTATGAAGAAAGATGTTTTCACATGTTTTTACTTTTACTTTTTTAAAAGGTTCAGACACAGAATGAAATTTAGTGTCCTACATGAAAATATAAAATGCAAGCTTAGGAAACATGTTCAGTACCTGGCATTTCTTGACGTAAATAGTAGGCCACACTGTTGGGATTATGTTTGGCCCTCAGTCGCAGAAAAACTTCGTGGTCCTCATCCGTCCAGCCTCCTGAATGGCCACCCCAGTCCTTCAAATATTTCTGAAACTGCTCAACTTCCTTCGGAATAAAATGTAGACGAGTCAGCTGGCTGATTGTTGAAATTGATAGACAAAGCGATAGACAAAAAAACCATAAGGAGCATAGAGCGAGATTATCGGTTGAAACGGGTGGACTTAACGAAAAAATTATGGACTAATTAAAGGGTCTCTCGTAAGTTGCCGTTAGTTAGTCTATTACCTATCTCTTTTGTCCATTGCAACCACCCGCTTCAACCGCTAGGATCCCTCCATATCTTTTTTGTCTTCCTTATCTTTCGATTTGTCCATCAGTTTCAACAATCAGCCCGCTGATGGGCGTACACACGACAATCAGTCAGCTCTTTAAATGAATCGCAGTCTGCTCGCACATTCAACGGACAATAACTAATAAATAATGAATGGAAATAAACAATTTTTAATTTTTCGTGTACAGGTCAAATTTTGGGGGAAACCATGGACACGACGAATAACCCAATCATGAGCCAAAGAGCAATATACCGAGATAGAAATTTAAAAATTACGCTTTATTTTTTCACACCATTTCACGTAGAACACGGTCAGTACACAACGAAAATTACTTGAGGTCACTCCTTAACCAGAAAGTATCGTTCTTCCATGCTTCAAACTTCTCACTCATGAAAGAGACCACAATCTATTTGAGTAAAATCGCACATTGAACGTCGCGTCGTAGCAGACTCTGCTGCATAAAAATATGGCAATCTCAATCTCGGCACTTTGGCTCAGTTGTTACTTATGTATCGTATTCGATACATCAAACAGGTGAGATTGTATTTGGTTCAGCATGTAAACATAGCCTCAAAAGTCAATTGAGTAATCTGAGCAAACGGGTTTCTCGTGATGGATTTTTTATGCTTACGAGTACAGAATTGCAATAAAGAAATTAACGAATGAATGAATTGTTACGAATTTCCTCCTTTTAAGCTTTTCTAGCTTAAATCCTAAAACTTTTGTTCGAGGTTATGTTCTATTGTTTTGAACCATACGATACATCGAACTCCTATCAAAGACGATCTATTGTTTACACTTTGAGCAACTTAAGGCGGGAGAACACTGCTCTATTAAAGAGCCTGTCGAAACTTTTGTATTGCGCGATTTGATTCACGTTAAGACTCTTTTTTTCTTCCGAACGAGAAATTCAAATTTTTCGCGACCGCTACTCAATGAAAACGATAATTATCTTGATTAAAAGTCGATCTTGGCTCTAGGGTGTGGACCTCTGTCATACAGACTCTGTAATCACCTCACTTTTTGTATCACTAAACGGGGATCTAATTATTTTGATTTTTATAATTGGACGTATTTATGCTAAAAGTAACGATGTTACATCCAAACCTTGTGCACATAGTTCCTTTTAGCATAAATACGGTCAATTATTTATATATTTTTGTTTCCTAATCGAGGAGAGGGTTAAAACTACCTCAAAACGTCCCAGGCTTAATGTTCCGTTGTTTTTTAGCTTTGGTTATCCGTTTTTCTTGTGTCTTTCAGTGCAGTTTGATTGAAAGCTTTCAATTCACTAACTTTCGTACCGCGACTCTGTTATAAAGTTTGAAGAGGAATCATACACCAGAAAGCTTAAATTTGTACCTTGTCTAGGTATAAAACCTACTTATACCTTGTCCTATACCTCCTACCCTTACCTATCCCCCCTGCTGCTGTTCCCCCCTCCTGTCATATACCTTGTACCTATACCTTATTCTGTTGATATACCTTGTCTATACATCTTGTGTATCCATCTATAAGTGTTCTCGATCAAAATAATTGGCGAGGAAAATCTATGAGACAATCGAGATTATTTTTTCCCTTATGAGTGCCCTTTTACCAGAGGTCGGTGCTCCTCAGATTATTTCAGGGGCTTACCGGGTATTTGGAGGCAATCGCAGGAGGGATTGTAGAAATACTGAAGGGTTTCAAAACAGCGGTGCCGAGCGCGTCCACTGGCTCTAAATTCCGCTGCAACTCACCAATTTCTTCCTCAAGCTCATCACTCTCCACGCTTAGTTTTTTTAAACTAAAAAGGAGAGAAAAAAAAACAATCATCGCACAGTTTTTTAGTAACGCTAAGTAACTCTTTAAAATTACGCTTAAATGGAGAGAGCTGTTAAAATTAATTCGTGTTTGAAGAGCTTTTCAATGTTGATAGAATTATGCAACTTATATTCTTCGCAATAAGATTACTGAAATTATGCAAAAAATTAAATTTACAAAGTTAATTTTCTTCTTTTTATAGTTTATCAGGAGTAGGTAAAGCTACAACTTGTTTCGATGATTAGGTTATAATTGCGAGGTAAAAAAATGCACAATTTTGGCGAAATTGGAATGCTCTTGGTTCCCTTTTGCAAAACGCAATCCAAGTTATGCTACAATCAATTTTTTCAAGATGATCTTGTACACTCTGCTCAAATCTTATTTCAATGATGAGACACTACGTTTCAGGAGACTTTGTTCAATTGGCTTGACATTCCGCAGACCCCTTTCAATTTTTTTCTTTTTTAACGAGTTTATTATTAAAGTACATATACAAGTTGACAACAGGAGCCTGAAAGTCCTCTAGCCAAGAAATCCTGAATTTACACACTGAATACACCTAATAAGAGAGCAAAGTTACTTTAATAGACAGCAAGATCCATATAAAAACTCTAAGTGACGCGATCTCATTCAGAAGGGATAGTCGTCCAGGCTGGAAATATTCCTGTTGACACATCATCAACCAAAGACCCCTTTAAAATTAAATTTCATCATTTTAAAGATAAGGAAAGTCAGTCACTGCCATTAATCAATTTTGATTCTTATGGACTCATAAACGTAAAGACAATGTTATTAAAGCTTCTAAATGCATATCTAATATTCTATCTTTAAATTGTATCAATCTGACAGAAAGCATTTTTGGGAAAAAAATACAAGTCTTGAAATAATTCCTAGGATTACTGTATAGTTTAAAGGATCAAAATATTTGTATGTGATAAAGAATTCCTCTACGTATTAAGATATCAATAAATAAGTAAAGGATGAATAGATAAATAGTGATTTATGATCTTACTTACGTAATGGTAAACATTTGATCCAAATCTGAGAGCTCTTTCTCAAATGCGATCATTTTCTTTTTGAAGGAGGATAGATCTATAAAATACATTTAAAAAAGTCATTTCATTATTTCAGGGTCAAATTATATTATACTTAGTATACTCGTAATTGACTTTTTTCAATCGGAATTGGTTCAAAGTTTCAAAAATTGACTTAAACGGGACGAGGTTCCTGTTGTCAAACGGACTCAGGTTTGGAGCGATGTGCGTCCCAGTTCTAACAATATATATGTCCGAGTCAAACCAGTTCAAATTTTTACAGCAGTATTTGACTTTTCATTTCGAAAAATGAACCTTAAGAACATCTTCAAATCCCCGAATTTATCAAAAATTGGACGGATATGTATAAAAGTGGCCAACACCGAGATCGGGAAGTATTAAATTGAATCGTAAGTTGGACGTTTTTATGTTAAAAGGAACTATGTGCAAGTGGAAAGATGGGGTGTGCTCGTGGTGAGCTGAATAAGAAACAATGTAAAAGTGGATACAGTTCCATTTGAAAAGATGGAAAAGCGGGATTTGACATTAAATCAAAAGGAACTGAGCGCTAACTCGTGAGCCGTGGGCATGTGACAAGAGCGTTGAGGGCAGGGCTCATGAGTTAAAGACTTCCTCGTCGCTTCCGTCGCGCGTCATCGAGCCCGGTCCTCAACGCTGACGTCACTGGCGCTTTTAATTTCCCATTCACGCTTACGGCCCGAGCACTAATCAGCACATCCCATCTTTCCACTTGCATATAGTTCCAAGCATAAATACGTGACGTGCATCTGTGGCAAGACATATCCTGGAAGTTTCGAGTGAATACTCGATGACTTATACGTGGATCCTTTTTTTTTTTTTTTTTTTTTTTTTTTTGGCGGCCTCTCAAGACATGCAAGTAAACTATAAACTGAGCAAAAACTGTTCGATTACTTTGAGTTTAGTTTTACATCTGTTCCAGTCTTACCCAAGTTCTTCAAATTTTCAACGTTATTCAAACTGCTTTCTTTCTTGATATCTTTGAATGCGTCAATCAAGGGCAGTGTAGACTTTTCCATTCTCTCTTGGTCCAGATCTCTGCGCATTAATGAAAAAGACAACTGGCATAGAAAACGTAACAAGAAATGCCTCTGCTTAGATGATCTAAAGTTAAATGTAGGTACCAATTTTAAAATTAATTTTATGCGAATACCTTATACCCACTTAGTGAAAATACAACACCAGATAATGTTCAAATGATCTTCAGATGTACGAAAAACTTTGATGATCATCAGGACAGTGCTGCCAGATTGTGATACGGTCCGTTGCAGTTTCTTCAACTGGAAAATCGCTAAATTCTGACTCGTAAATACCAGTGAAAGAGTCATGAGCAAACCATAGCAAAATCCGGCAACACTGTTGTAATGATCAATTGACAACATTGTTTTTCTCCATTTAAACCCATGAAAATCTATCGATTCTTGGAGGGGCCAGGTGATCCGACAAGAATCGATTGTTTAACGTAGGTTTGAGTGGAGGAAATCCGGTGTTACCAAATTTCTGGATCCGCCTGTGTCAATGAGGATATTTCCGTGCCCCGAATAAATATTTGAACATCACGATTATGTAATACTTTTACTGCGTATATGCGTCTTTCAACTATATCGTGAGGAATTTTCGTTTTCCATTGGACAAAAAAAAAACGTATCTCCACTCCATAGTTTTGGAATCTCCTTCCAAATTTCACCTTTCACACAAAAGGAACGAAGCAAATCCTGACCAAAATTTTTCTAATTTTGTATAGTAGTCTTTAGAAAATATATGTACATTTTTTAGTAAAAAATTCAAAAAATTTTCCGAGTAAAAATAAAATATATATAGAAAATAAAGAAATATAGAAGAAATAATAAAGATATATATTTACATGTTATGAAAACTCATAACTAATGATAGTATAATTCCAGACGCCAGTAATTTCTCAACACTAAAATGAGATGTGGATCTAATCTCGTAAATGCTCTCGATGCATTATAGATAGATAAACGTATTTACCTCTCCGCTTTGACAGCATTATGAAAATCGTATACCGGTTTGAAAGTCTCGGCGTCTTTGTTCACTAGGTCTTGAATCAACTGATTCCGCATGTTATCCAAAAACGTCTCTTTTTTCTTAAATTGTGTGGTTCCGCACAAAATTGCCACCAACTCACTGAGCGACATTTTATTTTTATTTTATCTCAACTTCCCTATAAAAGAAATGAAGACTGCAATCCGAAAATCCAGTCCGCCCACCAATGAGTGTTGAATTTAGATTTAATCCGAGCAATGTATTCTGCAGTGAGCATTCTAAAATTTGAGCACAGACACTTGCACATGTGTAAAGATAGGTAAGGTCAAAACGTCATGTTAAAAATTAAGGTGATACAAATGAGACGGTCTTAACCTGGCCAACTTAAACAATTACAAATTCAACACAAACATAATTACTAATATTACGGCGGATGGCAGAATACGTGTTGTAATTTGAAGGAACTCAGACTTCGATCTGTAAAATGACTCAAAGACAACATTACAACTTTGGTTAGTAAACGAGCCGGTTAAAAAATTATCTACATCACAGCATAACCCCAACAAACAAGGACCGTGTCACTGTATGAACACGAGGGTTTGTTGTTTGCCATGGCAACAGGGACGCCTACTCTGAGGGCGCGACAGGTCGCACCAACACACCACTGTCAGCTGATCTGAGTGGTTGTTAGGGGAATATCACTGTTGTTTACCCCGTTTGAGCGCTGGATCCAGAAACTGCATCACAATACAGTGCACGTGTAATTATTTTTGTTTACATATGATTGTATTCTGAAGTCCACATTTTTTTAAAGATTTCCAAGTGATGTAAATAAATTCATTTTACAACCAAAAGAAGGATATATAAAGCGAAAAGGGGTTAGAAATGTGATAAGGTCTGAAAGTGATCGCCAGTGTAGTAAACAGCGGATGTAGTTTTTCCAGTGGAGATGCCAGTCACAAAGTCGACAAGAGCGCTTTACCACCGTAACACTTGTGAGAGGATTGATGGCATTGAAGTGAAGAAAAAGTGAAAGTAGTTTTTCTTTTGAGCTTTTAATGGTTCATAACATCCTCGCTGCCGCTTGAGGTACCAAAAACGAACCTCAATAAGACTTAGGTAGCTAAGTCCTTCTTATGGGAAGGAATCAGAAATTTGGGGAAATGGCGATGTTGCATGTGTGAGGGATTTGCGAATTGACCATTGATTCTTACGTAAAAAGGACCCTACAACAAAACGGCCAAATCGGCCTAAACACGGAATCGCACGATTTTCTCAGGGATGATAGAGGGTCTTCCCAGACACTCAAAACTGGTCATATTTTTTGCCTAACCCCCAGGGAAAAGGGGGGAGAGGGGGTCAAAGTCAAAACCTTTAAATTAGCATAACTTCTCAACGGTTTGTATGTTCCGAGTCTCAAGGTCACCTGCGCGCCCCGGATTACCTGCAGGTTGCAAGTTTTTGTGTTTTTATGCTTCTGTAGGTCATTTTTAATGTAAATCTTCAATGAAGATAGTTTAATCAGAAAATTGGAATGTTGCACGTGTGAGGGATTTGCGATTTGACTGTTGTTTCTTATGTAAAAGTTTGCGAGAAACACGATGGTGCCACTGGTTTTCTCTGAAAGCATCTCCCAAGCTCAAAAAAAGCTCTCAAAGTGAGGCCGAAATGGAGGGGATATCCCACCCTACCCTGAGAGTCCACCTCTACATCAAAATCTACTCTCCATGCAAAGATAGGGAGCAAATAAATTGACAGGGCTGCCACTTCATTTGGGGACTCCAAAACTGAAAACACGGCAACCCTGCTAATGTATTTGCTCCCTATCTTTGCATGGAGAGTTTGTTTTGATGTAGAGGTGGACTCTCAGGGTAGGGTGTGATATCCCCTCCATTTTGGCCTCACATAGAGAGCATTTTTTGAGCTTGGGAGATGATTTCAGAGAAAACCAGCGGCACCATCGTGTTTCTCGCAAAGGACCCTACAACAAAACGGCCAAATCGGCCTAAACACGGAATCGCACGATTTTCTCAGGGATGATAGAGGGTCTTCCCAGACACTCAAAACTGGTCATATTTTTTGCCTAACCCCCAGGGAAAAGGGGGGAGAGGGGGTCAAAGTCAAAACCTTTAAATTAGCATAACTTCTCAACGGTTTGTC